AATGACCAACGACAATTTCGACGAAGGGGAACAATCACCAGACGTCCAGACAGCCCTGTACTGGCGGGGATTTTACAGCATGGGTGCGTTTATGTCGGCAGATGTGGGTGGGCATTGGGATGACATGACATGACAGGCAGCTCTGCTCGATGCTGCCCCCAATCAGAGCCGTAGCTGGCCCACCGTCCTCTGGGATCAAGTAGCATCCAACGCGTACGGCGGAATGGGAGAGCTTCATGTTTGGCTGGCTAAATCCACCTCTGCTACTCTGCCATGCTATCCTGATAATCCATCCATTCATGCTCGTTGATGCACACACCACACCATCTCGTTTCCTCGTGTTCCGCCCCGCCCCCAAATTTGGATGGAATTCACCGAAAAGCTTCCAAGTTAGCTTTGTACACAGCCGTGTGAGAATATCTGACAGGTCTCCAGGTAGCTAGCTGAGAGCAGAAGGTCTATGGCTCCTGGACGGGGATTAGACGTCATTGGCTGCTGATCCTGGGCCATGGCGACGGACGGGATGACGGTGGCCAGACTTGGCTGTCGTTGGCCTCGAAAGCCACCTGCAGGCTGTGAAGCTGTGAAGCAAGACCAGATGATGCACCGCCGTTCTACCCATGGGACAATTGATACGCGCAGAGGAGGGGGACGTGTTGTGTGGGACAGGGGGCCCAGGTGGGAGGCACGGCAGCGTCGGCATGGAGAAGCTCTGGCGTTGATCAAGGCTCGAGCTCTTGCTGGGTGGCCGACATCCGAGTTAATTGGCTGCTCATCGTCAGAGCCCGTAATTCAACCACACAATTTAAGTCTATCCAGGCGTGCTAACAATGCGAAGACCTGGGGACTGGGGAAGTGGATTTGCTTATCCCACCTCTAGCTGATCTGCAATCCATATCCTCTGTTTTGTTCCCCAGACTGGAGTTTGGCTGGGCAAAGGAGGTGTGGTATAATCCCTTCTACTGTCGTCCTGGCTGTGGATTTCTATGTCATTGCGAAGATAATAGCAACGCTGGATCTATTGATCACAGATCTGCATGCAGTGGCTTGCTTTATCGAGCAATGAGACAGTGAAAAATCGATATCCTCCTTCCAACCTGTGAATCCCCGTCCACAAGAATCGACTTGAAAGGGAGCTGCAGCCTCCCACGCCCGCACCCGGCTTGCCTGGTATGGGACCGCCGTCGTCATCGGGCATGAGAAGGGTCCCGCGAGCCAGACGGCCAAATGCTCGGCCTTGAACACAGTCCTTGCTGCAGCTGTATGTACATAGCAACCTGTCCGACGATCATCCCCGGTCCCACAAAGCAGCGGTAAGCGAATGGTCGAGCTTGGCCAGCAGTATGTACATTGCCAATTGGTGAACAGTACGTTTTGCTGGGATCTGACCATGCGCGTGGCAAGGCAGCAGGGACCGGTTTTTCGATTATTGCTTTTTTCTTCGCGGCACGAGGCTCACATTCGCATGGCCGAAGGGATCAAAATGTGATACAATGTGCGGGGATGATGGTCCCTGGAGACAATCCATGTTGGCAAATGTGAGGAAGCGAGGAGTCTCCTTGGCTTCGGATAGACGCTGCTCGTCCTGTCTTTTCTTTGTACGGGACTGGCAATACATGGCTGTGCACTGTGATACCCCATCTCATTCAACTGCATCTCAACTGGGTAATCGAGCACGCAGGTTAGATTTAGCTTACGCCTGTACGGGCAAATCGTCCGTCCGCGAGGGCTGGAAACTTCAATCCCCTCGGCAAGACTGAGACGAGGCCAAGCTCTTCTGGCCCGATTGACGTACAGTAGATGGCAACCTGAACCGAGAATCCTGCCTATGCGCCACTGGAAAGGAACAATGGGGAGGGGATAGAGCGAGCTCCACTTCCCTCCTTCCCCAATCCCATCGCCGGTCGGTAGAGTAAAGTACAGTATGTCAATATGTATCATGATGGGGATGGTGGGATGCTTTGTTCGGGGCAACAAGGTCACGGCCAGGCAGGGATCGCCATTCCCACCCAGCCGGGGGAACAGCGCCGTCAGTTCTCATCATCCCTCCTCGTGCCAAATCAAGTGCCACCGCGGGAAAGTCCAGCGAAGGCGAGCTAGAACGCTGTGCTTCGATGGATCGAGGGCAGGAGCCATGCAGTGTCTGCGTCTGTGGTTCCGCCGCGTGCATGCACATATAAATGGCCCCGAGCTGTCCACACACACACACTCTCTCTCAATCACACCCCTCGAGATCCTGAGACACTACTCGGCTAGGGAAAGGCCTCGATACACCACCTTACATACTGCAAATACTTGTTCTTCAATTCCTCCCTCCTCTTGTTCGATAGGAAGGAAAGGAGACAGCCTCTAGGGAGAGCGCAAACCATCCTCCTACAGCTGCCCGTCATGGCGATTGGCAACATCTATGTCATCTCGGGCGTGGCCGTCATCGGCGGCGCCCTGTTCGGATTCGACATCTCGTCTCTGAGCGCCCAGTTGGCCATGCAGAGCTACCTGTGCTACTTCAACCAAGGCCCCAAGGGCCCGCCACCAGAGTTCGAGGCCAATGACGAGAAGAAGTGCAGCGGCCCCGAATCGCTTGTCCAGGGTGGTATCACTGCCGCCATGTCGGCTGGTTCTTGGGCCGGCGCATTGGTTTCTGGTTTCCTGTCCGACTGGCTCGGCAGAAAGTATGCCATCATGATTGGCTGCGTTATTTGGTAAGTTGACAATTCCTCTTTCTGCTCTGTTTGAGATGAAGGCACCTGGCACAGTCTGCGGAGAGGGCAGCCACGCCTGGAGTCCAGATGGCGGTTGTCTGTTTCACTTCCTCGTGGACTTGCAGATTTGACCCGTCCATCTCCCTTGGCAATCCAACACGCAAATAGCATGTCGCGGTTTTATTCAGTATTCTGAGACCATCGACGTTCAGGGCCATTTGATCCAGTCCATTGACTAACAGCGAACCAGGATGATCGGTTCCGCCATCAGTTGCTCGTCCCAGAACATCCCCCAGCTCGCAATCGGCCGCATGATCAATGGATTCTGTGTCGGAATCGAGTCGGCTCAGGTCCCTGTCTACATTGCAGAAATCGCAAAGCCTTCCATGAGAGGCCGTCTGATCGGATTCCAGCAATGGGCCATCACATGGGGCATCCTCATCATGTACTACATCTCCTACGGCTGCTCCTTCATTGGAGGCGGTGACTACGACACCTACAAGACAGCATCCTGGCGTATCCCGTGGGGTCTGCAGATGCTCCCCGCCGTATTCCTCTTCTTTATGATGATGCTTCTCCCCGAATCTCCTCGTTGGCTAGCTCGCAAGGACCGCTGGGAGGAATGCCACAGCGTTTTGACCCTTGTCCATGGCGATGGCGACCCGAACCACCCGTGGGTCAATCAAGAGCTTCAAGAGATCAAGGAGATGTGCGAGTTTGAACGCCAGCACTCAGATGCTACGTACTTGGATCTCTTCAAGCCGCGTATGCTTCATCGCACAATCACTGCCCTCTTTACGCAGATCTGGTCACAGCTGACTGGCATGAACGTCATGAGTGAGTAATTTCAACGCTGACCACGGCCTGTACAATCTTCTGACCATCTCTAGTGTACTACATTGCAAATATCTTCACCATGGCTGGGTACACGGGAAATGCTGTTCTGCTTGCTTCCAGTATTCAGTACGTCATTAACGTGTTTATGACAATCCCGGCACTGCTCTGGTAAGCTCTTATATCCTTCGGCAAATGCATGGTAGAAGAAGAGCAACATCTAACACAGTTCCATAGGATGGATAGATGGGGTCGACGATACACCATGTTGGTTGGTGCAACGTTCATGGGAATTTGGATGTTCGTCGGTGCTGGAATTCTCGCAAACTACGGAAGGGTGATTCCTGGAGGCATTGGAGGTGTCGCAGCACAGTCTATGGAAGTCTCCGGGGCTCCTGCGAAAGCACTTATTGCCTCCGTGTACCTCTTTGTCGCCAGCTTCGCCCCCACCTGGGGCCCGGCATCATGGACATACCCCCCGGAGTTATTTCCCCTCCATCTTCGTGGAAAGGGTGTTGCCATGTCGACCTCTGGTAACTGGGCTTTCAACACCGCCTTGGGCCTGTTCGTTCCAGAGGCCTTTGCCAACATCAAGTGGAAGACATACCTGATCTTCGGCATCTTCAACGTTTGCATGTGAGTACTATCTCTTGAATAACCAAGACTTCATCTCGATGGAACATATAGCTGAACATATTGTAGGTTCGTCCATGTATTCTTCCTCTTCCCAGAGACAAGTGGCCATACTCTCGAGGAGGTCAGCAGCATCTTCGAAGATCCCAACGGAATCCCATATATCGGCACACCAGCTTGGAAGACCAAGGTGGCCACTTCAGCTACTAGAAGAGCTGAGGCGGGTGACTTGGAGGCCAAGTATGGTGAGAAGGAGAAGAACCTCCAGCCCGTCCAGAGCGCAGAAGCTGCTGAGGCCAGCCCTGTCGAGAGGACCTAAGCGATGTTGCAGATGGATTGTGGTTCGCAGGCGCGCATGAAATCGTCGGTGCGACTCGAGAAACTAACTGAGGACTATGACCATTGGTTCCTATTCCGATTTTTTAATTCTAATTATGGCCGTTTGTACCAGTTGAATCAAAGGAGAGCTATTAAGAATATGAATGAGGGTGGGCAGTTGGAAGCCCAAGGTTGTATTAATGATATCAGGAGCAAGGGCAGGCTCGTAATTAGGGATACCCCGACCTCTCTAGTGAACATTTTACTTGCAACCAATATATCTACACATTTTTGAATGAGTCCACAAGGCTCCAGGTGCTATCGCCAGAGTGAGTGCTGGTAGATGGAACGGCGCGAAACCAACGCATTTACTATTTCTTTGATCTTGAAGCTCGCACACTTCTATGACTAGATCAGAAAGCAACATCAATTCACAGCATTCTGATTATTGGCCTCATTTACTTCATCAAGAACGTTATCATCTGGGGCTGAAGATCACCAGGTATACTTTCATTTAACCTCTTCAGCTCCCTCTCTGGTCGGATCTTGAAGCCTCGCTAACTCTAGTAAAAGTCGATATACGTAGATCGTCATGTCAACTTCACGAAATGCCCTCGAAAACCAATCTCGCCCCTGTTCAGCAATCCTCCTGGCCTGCTCCTGCCCAGACTTGGTCGACGTCAGGTAGGTAATCAACTCCGGCAGCTCCGTCATGTCCTGGCTCACGGGGACGTAGTGCACCCACGGGACGAGCCTGTCATCATGCCACTCCCGCATGATGGTCTGCTTCAGGGGAACGGATCCGGACGCCAGCAGCTTGTAGAAACGCCCGCTGATGCCGTTGCCGTCCAGGTCGAGCGCGAGCCGGTATCCGAGCGCCTCGTCCCCGTGCGCCCACGGCCTGACGTTGAAGTGTGCGCGCTGGTCGTGGCAGGCGGACGGCGCGCACTGGAAGACCCTGGTGAAGGCCACGCTGTATGATCGGCGGTTGAGGAACGGTGACGGGACGCGCTCGACCAGCCCGTTTCTCTGCCGTAGATACCAGTATGTGTGGTCCCGCGCCGGGTTTTGGACCATGTTTACGAATCTGTGTCGGTGGAAGTCTCTCCAGTGGCTTCCGTCCGCGTGCCCGCCCGACGTGGAGCCTGCCCAGTACAGCTTGTTCTGCTTGCCGTTCCAGTCCGTGTCCCGTGCCTCGTCGTACTGGAACTCTTCTTCGAGGTAGGCTGGGCTGGGTAGGAGGATGTCGCCCATTGTGGAGAGCGACCCCGTCGAGAGGATCGGGACGAGGTCTTCGATTGGGCGAAACGTTACCGGGTTTATGAGGAGGCCGTGCATATGTCGGTATTCAGGGTGTTGGCAGATATCAACCTGGTGGCTGTGGTTTCGGACAAGGCCTATGTCGGGCGAGGGTGACCAGTTCTCGGATCGGTCTGATTCGAGGTCTTGGAATTTGCAGGTTTGGCTGATCATATCCCAGACTTGGCTTGGGTATTCATCACCGGTTCTCCCCTGTCCCGAACTCCCGACTTGAGATGGTAGTTGGTTTCGAAGCGATTTGCATGTTGTCAGGACTCTTGGCTCGTCAAAATGATTGACAAGAAACCTGAGGGAGTGAACGCCACTGGGAACATCTTTCATCAACCTGTTAAACAAGAGCGATATATGCCTGTCGAATGTGCGCCGAGGATGGCTGCAGTGCGTCTCGGACTTCTGTGATGAATATTCACAAGACCACACTTCGCTACCTGGCCGCGAATACACCCGGCTCATGGCTTCCAGAACCTCGCGGCCGCTTAGTTTTAGCAGGGGAGCGATGGATCTCTGGATGGTGTCAAAGTCGTCGATGACTGGTGACTGATTCGTCTTTGCAAACTCATACCATTCCTCGAAGCCTGGGGGAGGTTCGAAGCCGTACCGGCGTTTGTATTCCTCGCATGCGGCGGTGTAGGTTCTGGACTGTCGGTGGATGAGTGAGTTGAGTTCATCTTGCGCGGCATGTATCGCCTCTTCCACGGGATGCATCTGGTGGCTGCGGAAACTGATCCTTGCCATGTGTTGGCTCGACATGATGGCTTGGAGACTGAGAAGGTATGGGATTATGGGGATGAGAGACAGTACCCAGAGAGTCTTTGGGTATTTAGGAATTGTTCCAATGATCTGGGCTAGAAACACGATTGAGCCGATCAATACAAAAAAAGAATCGGCATCCGACGATTGAGAATATGGGTTAGTTGTTGATAAGATGCTGAAGGTTGTGATTGGTACTGCTATCCGCCATGTAGTATAATGAGCCTGTTGGCCTTTGTTAGCAGATAGAAACACCCTATTGACTGTCATGAGGCACAGAGACGTACGGTTTGAATGAAGAAGAACCAAGTGAACGCCTTGGAGATGCCCAGCGTAATGGTTGGAAGCATTTGAGGGACGGCGCACCCAAACATGAAGGTCTTCAATGCCAAAACGACGACAAGAGTAAAAGTCACCCGAAAAGAAAGAGGGTCTATATCCTCTCGAATATAGACGTGAGGGATATGTCGAGAGCGGTTGGATCCTTTGTTTAGCAGTGTCAAGTACATTGTAAAGGAAGCCACCGCTGATGTTATCGACAACACAAAGCGAATCAGATTGAAATCAATGAGAGTGAAAATCCCGAAGAGGGCTATCAAGGTTGTGCCCAACAGTGTGTTCGAAATCATGAAACTAAAGGCGGGACAAAGAGAGGCTGGCCATGATAGGTCCTGCCCGAGGTACTGCTCGGTGGCTAATAGGAGAGGCATCAACAGTGGCTATGAAAGGTTAGCCAAGGAGACTGAGAGTCTAGACTTAGTGAATTACACGTACAAGAAGCCAGTTGCTCCCCTGTTCTCCTTCGCATGCAGCTCGAATTGCTATGCATACTGCGAATAACCATAACCACCGAACGGGTGATATCCGCGGTTCGTTTACCTTTTCCGTATCAAGTCGATTGGTGGACAAGGTGATAGCCTTGCATAATATTGGCAGCAAGATCCAGCAGATCAGCTCGGCCCAGGGTTCATCTCTGCGGCTAGATTGCCATTGGGTCCATACCGCACACAGGACAGCAGACCCGGTTAGCCCTGTGACCGGATCTATAATCGCCAAGTGCCGCATAAATATCTACTTGCACACCCATCTGGATAATGCTAAATTGGAGGAGAAGAATAAGAATTGGCGCTTAACACTTATAACTACATAGTATCCCCCTTCTGACGATGGGAGATGGCCAGGGGGGCGGTTGATTATTAACTGCATGTTGATCTCGTCCCCAATGATTCCTAGTTCTTGGGTCCGGAGCCGTCTTTTCCGATCAGCTCCACGGCGCACGAGAGTGAGGTGACGCACTGGCTGGTGGCTGTGGCCCCAATGGCTGACATATTAGCTTGAACGGGACCGTTTTATTGTCGATCTTAGGAGCACGAAACTCCAAATAAGGCTTGCCAGGAATCGCACCCCTGCCTGCCAATTCGATATTTACCATGAAGATCCTTTCACGGCCGATCATGCCGTTGGTTTCACACTATTTTTATTGGGCAGGTGCCCACGATTCATGACTAACTAGACGAAGCCACAAAAGAACATTTCCAAGAAGGGCCTTCCTCGTAGCTATATATACTAGATTACTTACGTCCTTACCGCCGCTGGGTTAAACGTAAAAGGGCTCTCAGTGCAAAGAGCAGTTTACTTAATGTTACAATATTGAATCGTTTTCCCTCTCACTGTAGTCTTTGAGTTGGTACGCGGAAGCCGTAACCTGACGTTGATTTGTGATTATAGGAGCTTATTTGTTTGGATTGCGTATTGTATCTGTTGGGTGATTATAATTCTATGAATCGACGTAGTTCTGTAGAGCCACGTAAGACCGCTCCCTGACTGCCTCTGTAAGAGCAGCACTAACGGTGCGTCCCGGCATATGGCCGTCTTATTCAAACGTCTGAGAGTCAGCAGAGAGTATGTGATAATTGACAACTGTTACACACTCTACCCTCGACTCAAAACCGCGGACTCTGGGGACGCGCTGAGAGGAGGCATCAGGTTTGGTAGTTTGCCCCAGACCATGCTGTTGCATGCGCCAAGTCAACTAGTCTATTTTCTACTTAAAACTTTTCTCCAGGGCTATGGCGGAGATAAGAAAGAGACCCGCAACTCATACATCTCTATTGTGGCTTATTCGCGTAGGATCTAGAACCCTCCGCTTTGGGTACGCGCGCTGCGTGCATATTGGTTGCTGTACGATTTATTACAGAGGAGCCGGATCGGCCATCAAGAACATTGGGAGCTCAAGATTCCACTGCAACGTTTCCATATGGACATGGAGCGTTTGGATGCTTTTGCTAGATTGAATGAAGGAACATCGGGTGTATACTTTCTGAAGTAGTTTTGTCCTAGGCCCATATTTGGTATGGGATTCAAAGCGGAATTCTTGAGATGGGATCTAGGCTCAATGGTTATAAAGGGTATATTCAGGTCGGTATACATGTATACTTCGACTTTGTAATGGTATCAATACTTGAGCTGGCTATAGCGATATTCATATACACAATGTGGAAGACACAGGAGATATTGAGCACTATTGAGCACTTGAATATCATCAAGCCGACAACGAATATTCAATGCCTATAACCTGTTCGAGTCATCGAAGCGAACGTAGAGGTGATATACTGCGTGTGGCGTATGGTGCAGGGTGGCTGATCGTTGTGGCTGATGATGGAGAGGTTATCACGTGCCGCGGGACCTAACTTCAATTGATGGCGGCACTTTTCAGGCACATAGTGGGCTGGAGGGGTAGTCCTGAGACAAGCCAATCAGGGGCTCGAATCAGAGATTTTGTGGGACCTCAGGATGAGGGCAAACGTGACTCAACTCTGCATTTCCCGCGATGCTTCTCTGCACAACACATCTAATTGCCTGTTGATACTCTTAGCGACTTCGCATCACCGGTAGTCATCACACGCGGCATGGATAATACCGTCAACTCAGCGATGGGTGACCTTTCGGTCAGCAACACAGCGACTGCCCAGGATGTGAATCCGTGGAGCGTCAGTGGCGAGATCGTCGACGGCAAGGTCAAGGCCATCGACTACAATCGCCTGGTCGACACCTTTGGCACGAAGCCCATCGACAAGGCGCTGCTGGAGCGCTTTGAGCGAGTCACCGGCCACAAGTTGCATCCCTTCCTGCGCCGTCAGCTGGTTTTCTCCCACCGTGACCTCGACTGGATTCTGACACGCCATGAGAAACGTGAGCCGTTCTTTTTATACACTGGTCGCGGCCCCAGCAGCGACAGTATGCATCTGGGCCATATGGTGCCCTTTACCTTCACCAAGTTGGTTATTGACCCGTCTTTTGGAGGGTGGGAATTGCTGCTAACATTGTACCCGTAGATGGCTGCAGGACGTATTTGACGTCCCCTTGGTCATCATGATGACGGATGACGAGAAGATGATCTTTGGCAAGAAGGTTTTCAGTCTGGAGGAAATGAGAGGCTTTGTCCGCGGCAATGCCACCGACATCTTGGCCGTTGGCTTCGACGTCAAGAAAACTTTCCTCTTCAGCGACTTTGACTTCATGGGGGGCGCCTTTTATCAGAATGTTGTCAAAATTTCACGTCAAATCACACAGAACACCAGCAAGGCGGTGTTCGGATTTACTGACAGGTGGGATATGAAGAACCCTCAAATGCTGCCTCTTTTTACTGACACCCCCCAAGTGATAGCGTTGGTAAATACCACTATGTCTCTGTCCAGTCGGCCACCGCTTTCGCTACCACCTTCCCGCACATATTTGGCACCGACACGAAGAAAGTAGCCAAGATCCCATCGCTGATTCCATGCGCCATCGACCAAGACCCCTACTTCCGCGTCTGCCGCGACGTCGCTCCTAAGCTGGGCTACCCAAAGCCCTGCCTTATCCACTCAAAGTTCTTCCCCGCGCTACAGGGTCCTGGCTCCAAGATGAGCGCCTCGATTGACTCAAGTGCCATCTTTATGAATGACACAATGAAGCAAATGTAAGCATCATATCATCGTCATCAACTGCTCCCCATTTGTGGCTCCTAATGAGTAACTGCTGACTGGAATGATGGATCAGTGAGAAGAAGATCAACAAGTACGCCTTCTCGGGCGGTCAAGAGACAATGGAAGAACAGCGCAGACTGGGTGGCAACCCCGACGTCGATGTTGCGTTTCAGTACCTGAGCTTCTTTTCAGAGGACGACGATGAGCTTGAGGAGATTCGCCAAGACTATATCGCGGGCCGACTGCTCACGGGCCAGCTAAAAAAGAAGTGCATCACCAAGCTTCAGGAGTTTATCAAGGCATACCAGGAGCGTCGCGCCACCATCACAGATGCCGTGCTGGACGAGTTTATGCGCGTTCGGCCGCTGGAGTGGAACCAAGGCGGAGAGCCTTCGGAAGGAGAAAAAAAACCAAGCCCTGAATCGTCATGAATAGAACGTGTAGATATTACTAAAAACATGGCTTATGACTCTTTCTACGTCGCTTCTCTTGGACCTTGATACCCATCGACCTGGACTTTTATGATGCCTCAAGTAACCACGTCAAGCCTAACCAAGCTATGAGGCCCCTGTAAGGACCAGACTTTCCTGGTCACTAAACCCGGTTGATATCTTGCTCGCCTGATCACATTTAGTTAACAATAGATTAGTACTCTAGTGTTGAAGTTGGTGCTCCTCCGCATTCTCAGTCTAAACGTGCCTTGCCTTATAGTTTACTGGATTTCACAAGCTCGGTGAATTTTGGATCAGCATATTTCACATATTTCCTACTCCTCCGCATTGTGCTGACTGTCCTCTCCCCACTAATTCCTACATGGATTTTGCGTCCACTATCTCTTTACCTCTTGGAAGCCCGGAGGGATTGGATACTAAGCTGCTGGTGGCAGGATACGGCAGGTATGCCGCAACCGTAAAGCCCTTGGCTCACTCAAATTAGTCCGACGAGGATCAATAAATATCACTGAGATGGAGAGGATTAAAGTGACGAATACAGTTGCGAAACTGTGTCTATCAGGCTTAGTCTTGGTTGCAATGATTGTAGTCTAATAGCTCGGCTCTTCCTCTTTAGTTTTGGTTGTTCTCAACATCTCGAAGGTAAGCAAAAGAAGCCCAGGAGCCGACACCAAGGAAAAGCCCCATGCCGATAAGAATGAGCAACGTGTTGACGACCCCCAACACAACGTCCATCCCTGGCCCCCATACGCGGGGCACCCTCTTACGAACATCAGCTTGCCGCATACGGAACCAGGCGACCCCCCAGTAAATCCACCCGAAGAAACCGTCAAAGATGGCACCGACAATGGCGAGCACTATCAAGTAGGATTAGAGGGCTGAGCGAGAATGGAGTACAGACGGGGTAAGGAACTCACAAGCATCGAATTCAGGAATGACTTGGCTGATGGTGAAGGCCAGGCCCCAGAGAAGAGCTGAAGCAGAATCGGTTAGACTTAAAATCGACCGAGGTTTGTGCAGAGTGAATGGAACGTACTAATAATGACAACCCAGATAATATTCTTGGTACGTTTCTTTGAGATACGTGATTCAAGCGCATTCAAGATGAATAGACCGGTAACTGTGGCGTAGAGGGATCCAAGTATAATCAAAGAAGGTAGAAGGAAACTGAAACAGATAATGAGCTGAGTCCTTTCAAGGCTTCCGATCGTGATGGTTGTCATATCACGAAGCCCGATGTGCTTATACATAAAGAGGGCGAATGTGATGAAAAGGGAGTACTGGAAGAATGAGGAGAGGTATAATGCCTTGGGGAAATCTCTGTGTAAGATATATTAGCGGTGAAAGATGTTCATAAGGACAGAAGAATCAACAAACCTGGGGTCCTTCATTTCAGCGATGAAGCTGGGGAGCGTTATCTGACCGATGAATGCAAATGCAATGCCTAAGAAAGCCACCATGATGTCTTTAAAGGTTGCATCAGGCGAGGGCCAGGGAGAGAACACGATCATACTATCCTTTGCTATAGCGGCATCGGCACCGCCTTGGGTCTGCCCTGAGGAGTCAATAGGGCCACCCTGATTTACTATGAAAACCATGGAAAGGATGACGCAAGTGACCGTGGAAGCAACAGCGGCCATGGCGAAACGAGACAATACTTTGAGGCTTCGAGGTAGTGAGCAAAGGAGGCAGAGAAATGTTGCAACGAGGCCGCCGAGGATCCGAGTAGAGATCCCCACAGACTTTCCGTTTAATACGTCTTGAAAGAAATTCCCACCAAGATTCACATGAATGCCCTGGAAGAGAAGGTCAGTTGATTCATATAGAGAGCGATATCAAGGGGAGAGAGACACGAACTTGAACCCACTGTTACGTCAAGATATTAGCGATCAACAAATCCAAAAGGGTATACGAACATCGACTCACAATATTGTTGCAAACAAACATACATGCGGTGAACCACAATCCGCTGGCGCCGTACTTTCCGCATAATAGCTTGCCGATGTCACAGATGCTCTTGACTTCGGGGTGTCGGAGGCAAAGGTCCCAGAGAACGAGCGAGGTGTACAAGTAACCAAGGCCCACGAAGATCGTGGCAGCAATTCCAAGCACCCAGCCCATGGTGGCGTAAGCGTGAGGGAAACTAAGAATGGCGAAGCCCACGAACTCAGCCATCACAAGGAAAGCCGTCTCAGCCCAGTGGCACGTCCGGTGCTTGTCACTGGGGCTGGAAGGCGTGCTTGCGGTCAGAGGTAGCTCGGGGCCATCCTCGAGGCTTGATGGGCCACTGGAAAGAGAAGGTCGGGCTGTGAGAGCATATCCTACCTGCCCATAGCCATCTTCCTTGCCGTCAAGTCTGGCGCCAACAACCGTGTTGGGACCACCGAGAATGGCAGCCCGCCGGGCGGCCCCAGGGGAAATAGCCAAAGACATGGCAAGTTCTGTTCAATGGTCGAGAGAACCCAAGAAATAGTGGAATAGATCTCGGCTTTCCTTTTGAGAAGAGGAGTTGACAATATTTTCAAAGATATTTCTTCTCGAGGGGTCCGAAGAATGTCAATCGTGTTGAGAAATAATTTGGTAGAGATAACTGATGAGAATATGTGTAAGGAAGAAAAAGAACAGAAGAAGAAATCTCGGAGTGAATTTCAAGACAAACGGGAGAAGACTTGTCGGAATGGAGTTTACTTGTCTGTCATTTAGGGGTTGCGCCGCAAACCTTCTTCATGTCACGTTGTGTTGTACATTCACTGAAGCCGGGCAAAAGTTAACTATATATTACTTCTTTGACCATTGTCTAGGATCTAATTCATAAACTTTCTCAACGGTTAGAGAACAAGCCTTTGCACTTGAAGGTTTAACTCAATGAAGATATTTATATGCTAAAATTCGTACGCGGGTTTCTGTTGACCAGCGGATGAAAAGGTAATCGTTCTATGAACTAGGAAGATATGGTGCAATTTATACTGCTATCACCATCGTAATAAATTATGGCCGGAGCATAGAAAACATGCTACGCTAATGGCTACCATTAGCTAATTCCGACGTAATGTAGTTAACATGATCATCAACGAAACATCAAGATAGTTAAATGACGTAGTGTGGAGTATTAATGATTTTGTGAGGATTTTACCACCAAGTGAACAGCATGGCTCAAAGTATGAAAGATATATAGCAAGGGTTGACTGTTTGATGGATATATCTCACTACTTGTGATGCTCTAACATGTCTCACTTAAACCCCTAGAAGATCAAGCGTCTGATGATCAACCAGCGCCGCAGAGTACCGCTCGCTCATGGCAAAAACAACATCGTCGGGCTGCATTGTCTGAGGCGTCATGGCCCAGAGAAAACCCTGCATGGCATACCGGCGATATTCATCCCATATATCCTCTCGCGTCATTTTGGGTCCTCCCTCTGCATGTAGTGCCTCTAGGTAGCTATCAATGAGATGACTTTCATGTGCACGGCGTTCTTCGACGGACATTGCCCCAACAAGGAAGTAGACAAGGTCTAGGATAGCAGGACCATACTGCAGACCTTGCCAATCAATAAATCCGGGCGTCCCATCGTTTGTAATAAAGGTGTTTCCGATGTGGTCATCGCCATGAATGAGGGAGAAGAACTTGAGATCGGCATCAGCGTGCTTCCATAAGGCCTCGAAGCCTCGTTGGATGCGTTCTCGGTCAAGCAGAGACTCCGCCACGGGAGGACGACATTTCTCATCGAATCGGGCACCCCATGGTGCAGGATGAAGAAGGGCGAGCACGATTTTACGAACTGGGTTCTCTAATTTGACTCCATCCTTGCCAAACAGCCAAGGGTATTCCTCTTCACTCCTATTCCAGGTCTTCCCATGAAGGCTCGCCAGCTGCTTCAGAGCCCCCTCAACAAGCTCCGGGGTCCAGGGTTCCAAGGGCATGCCGAACTTGCATTCCTCTGCCGTATTCGACATAATGACGATGCCCTGGCCATTGGCTTTATCCGTGCCTGTAAACCAGGTCTTGGGAAGTAACATATTGGTTTGTGGCGCAATGTAGTGGTAGAACTCCGCCTCGCGACGATAAGTAGCCCACATCTCGGGGACAGTTTGGAGAATGACAGGGTTGAACCCGCCCTTGACGCAAACCTTGCTGGGAATGTCTCGGGTTGAGTCCTCATCCTGGAACTCCAGATCGAGAAAGATCTTAGAAGCCGTGCCATGGATGGCATTCGTGATCTTGAAGCTCTTGACAGGCACGCCCAATGCTTCAGAGAGCCACTCTGAGGTGATCTCTTCTGGCGTCATGGGGAACGCCTTTTCAGAGTTGAAAATACTCCGGGGAGCTTTCGTGGTTTTGGCCAGTGTGTTGAGCATCGTGGTGGCTTTGGGTTGGATCGAGTTGTCAGAATTGGCCGACGTCCTACAACACAAGGGGAGATGATGACTTATTACTCCTTTTGAACAGATGAAATTTGTAGCCTGGGGTACAGCTTGACTGCTAGGATACCGGCTGGACCCCGATAGACAACATACGACTTTGTGACCCGCTTGAAGGTCACCAAAAACCAGGATGCCGACCAACAGGACCGACAAAATGCGGCCAGGGTCCGCTTGCCCAGCAGAAGGTTGGGCTGGACCACAAGTAGCGGTGATGTTATACGCGACGGGTTCCGGAATGTGGAGAGAGCTTCGTTGCCAGCATCCACCAAGGTGGAGTAACTTCGCTCCCTCCTGGTCTGAGGGCGAAGGCGAAACAGACCCGTTGAACCAGAACTGCCGATGCAGGAGCCGGATCCAGGCCAAAAGAAGAGTGAGCTACACTTAAACCGACGAAGCTTAACGTTCGACCTTCTTTATATGGCAAGATTGCCCGCCCTTTTTAGCACGAGCACAACAGGGGAAGGGTGGTGATAAGCTGACCGGGCTAGGTTGCTAGGGACTGTTTGAGAACAAACCGTTGGTAATGGATGCCATGATTTCAAAATTTGCCCCTGGCTGCAAAGAAGTTAAACTACTCCACGTAATATGCACAAGGCGTCCATACCCTGCTCTTGGGATTTTGAAATGTGATTGGTTGAGATAGACTTTCATACAACCAACATGAGACTTTTGGTGATGGTGAATGTTGGAACGCCGTGCTATGCAAGTAGACTGTAATTCAACCAGATCATTGAAAAGTGGTTAAGTGGAGGGTCAAGTCTTGTTTTGTGAAATCCAATTGATGGCGGAATGCCGTGGAATTGTCGTACTCGGTAAGTAGGGGTTAAGGGCTATGGGTTCCGCGGCAATTTTGGATCTTACACCCAAGTCAGGAGGTCAAACATCCACTTTCGAGGGATAAATTTTCAGTTTCCAGTTAAGGTCCGGCTTTGATCCGCCACTTCCACACAGTACATATCATGGGATCCCTGTGGCTAAGGAGACGGACCTGCTAAGAGGAGGAACCTTGTCCACCTTGTTCAACACATAGGAATATATATGTATGCTGCCACACATTCGGCATCTGAATTGTGGAATCGATGTCCATTTTCAAGTCTGTCTCTGAGATGTTTGGTGCTAAAGGGAGAGACCTACCGACACGATGCAAGCCCTGAGCCCCGAAGTCGACATATTCACCACCCCAGTGTTGCAACCGCCGGACGGAGTGACCTCGGACTTTAGCCGACCTCTCTCATCGGTCCAATTGGCTACTATAATCGTCTTCAGCGTCACTTACTTCTTTGCGACTGCGTCTTTAGCCATTCGATATCTCACGAGCGTTGCAGTGGTCCGGGCCCTGGAGCCCGATGTCGGTACGTGGAAGGCGAAATGCTAATCTGAGCTCCAAGTGACATGCCGTGCTGACAGCATCGAAAAACTAGTTCTTATAACATTAGCATGGGGTTGTTCCATGGGATATTTCATCTCTGTCTGTTTCGCCATGAAATATGGTTGGGGATCGGACGCATGGGATATTAGCATTTACGACCTGACTGGTTACTATAACGTGAGTAAAACCATGAAACAACCGAGGAACTGCCTTCATTTTCTGACTTTAGAGACACAGTACTTACTGCCGACAACGTTAACCTACATGTGGAGCCCGACTCTGAGCAAACTCTCGATTTTGAGCGTACTTTGGCGAATAAGCACGGCAAAACACTTCCGCACTGGTGTGTATATCGTGTCGGGAATGCTTCTCATATACACCATAACATTCACCGGCCTTCTGTCCGGTCCTTGCAATCCTAAGAATGTTGGTGGTGGCACGTGCCTCAACAATCTAGCGATTTCTCAGGTCGTGCTCAACATCGCGACGGATTTGTCCATCATCATACTGCCCCTCCCAACTCTCTACATGCTTCAGATGCCTTTCCGGAAGAAGGTTGTAGCGGGAGCTATCCTGAGCCTCGGTTCCGCGTACGCATTTATAACAAGAAATCCCTTTTTGCGTATCTTCAATATGCTGACTCTCATCTTTGCACAGGGTTCTACTCGCCTCCGTCGCTCGAGCCCCATACGTTAAGATCATGGCCACCGACCCGAACTTTTCTCGAAGGCAAGCCGAGGCTGGCGTCTGGTCACTGGTCGAGCTCAACCTCGGTATACTGTGCAGCAACTTGATGCGCATGAAGCCTTTCCTCCGGGCCTACCTACCCAAGCTCCTTACCATACTGGGGCTCTCGTCGGGGAGCGCATCCAACACCCCTGGCCACGACATCTCAACGGGACACTGGTCGCGAAAGAGCCATAGCCGCGGTTATAAGCTTCACAGTATAGGGAACGAGAATTCTCAAAGTAAAAGTTTGGACGCCGACGGCCTTGCTGTGAATATTAACATGCAAAAGCCGGAGAAGACTCGAGCGCACAGGGACAATGAAAGCACGGATAGCATCCTGGGGTGATTTAAATTAATGGTGAGACTTTATTGGTCTCGTTTTCCGACCATTGGCTTTTGGATCTAGGAGAAGAGCTCTCTATTTTAAGCGTAGCTGGCACGTTAGGCGTGTATAAATGTTGTCTTTAATAATTAAAACACCATTGACACATAAGGAAAGGGGTACAGGAACCCGTTTCTGTAACACTATGCCCTTAACAGAAACATGGTGTTTAGATATGGACCGACCGGAATTGTTCGGCATTCCGTATTTTACCTAATACCACTCATGACTAGGTAATCCAATGCAAGACAAAATTGTGAAGAATCTAAGCCTCTGTGAACTTGATAAATATCAAGGGCTCCGAGGAGTGGCAGATGATCACAGTGGAGTCAACGACTGGAGCCCCTCCAAGATGAGCCTGTCTCTAGGGGGAGCTAGAATATCCTCCTCCCCTTCATAACCCACGAGGCATCAGGGCTAAGCATATAACTAGAATACATGCCCGGGGACTCGAAATTGGCTGGGTCGGTAGCGGTTAAAAATACCATGTACTCCACATAAGCGGCGTGTAGTCTTATGCCCCCGAAGATCATTCATGTGGTTATGTGGGTATACACCAACGGGTAATTACGGCTCGATGTGAAAGAACGCTTAACATGACAACACCGTGAGCTACTTGCTCGTAGTAGTAAAACGGTGGCGGCATCTTCATCCATAGTCTTAGATTAAAACACTTCCGATATGCATTCATAACCACTAGGTATTTTTCAATCACGAATTCAGTAACCTAGATACAGCTTCGTGTCTCGCAGAGCGGAATTGTAATGTTCAATATTCTAATGTTCAACCTTCCCTCCAATTGTGTTGCATAAGTTTGTAGATGAACCAACCAGCCTCTCTTCACTTTGGCCGTTGGATCTTCAAGCTCCAATCCAAAATTGACTCAACTGAGTTTGATCAAACCGTGACTTGTCGTGCGCCTTGTGTCTCTTCTTTCCTTTGCTAGAGACAGCGTCTTTTAGTTCCACCACCACATGAACAGACTGTCAAGTTTCATCTTGCTTGTGTGTGATCACCTCCATAGACTCTCTCTCATTCGCCGTATCCCGCCACAAGGATCGCGAGTTTTTCCGGGGTCGTAGTTGGCCTCGGCATGGAGCCCTGCGATGGCATCGACATGGAGGGAAGGCCCGAAGGCTGGTTGGGGAAGCCAACGTTACTTCGTTTTTGTGCCCCAAGATATTGACGGCGGGGTACCTGGGCACCACAGACGGAATGAAGTAGGAACTTGACCGATAAGGCGTATAGTAGCTCCACGTCCGAGTATTTGGTCAGGTGCTATCAAGTCGACCCCGAAGTAAGCAGCGCATGAGCCACCAGATGCTTCGCGAATTGGTATGAGCCTGTCGTCCGCTGGTCTATTCGTAGTTATAGATGGCCTGAGGATGGAAAGTGCCGCAGAAGACGGTGAGGTTCGTGACGTAAGTTCCTTGATAAACTTGGAGAGCCAATTGCGAATCAACTGGACCCGTTGGGCGAAGACTTTAGTAGCGGCCCGGGAAGAATTTAGAGTCTTGGAGCTCAAGAATTGAGCCGTAGTGCAAGATGCGTAAAGGTATAATGTTGCAATTGTGAAGAGGCCAGCAATGCTTTATAGTGCCTTGCTCATTGGCGACCGCGAGAAAATTGTTCTTTGAGCCGCCGAACAACAGAGGTCCCAAAGAGAGATGTCTCGGAGCGGAAACGTAGAATTTGGCCTTGGTCTCAATGATGACATCCACGTTGATGTCGACGCAGGAGTAGAAGAAGAAGAAGAAAAAGTAGAAGAAGTAGAAGAAGAAGTAGTAGTAGAAAAAGAAGCAGAAGAAAAAGAAGAAGTAGAAGTGCCACCCACACGATAGAGCAGCAGGCATGGTCGAAGCACACACACTTACCACACATTCGGCACAGCACACAGACAGACACACTGACAAAGGGTTTACTTAGCTGCAAATGAAGAGATAAGAGGCGAGTAATGAGCAACCGGCGATGGGCGATGACAGCAAGCAACTGAGCAGAGGCGTGGACGAGCAACAAGCAGCCGATGATGAACGATGAGCGACAAGTGGCTGAGCGACAAGTGATTAGGCAGAGGTGTGGGCGAGCAACGAGTGAACGACGATGAGCGATGAGAAACAGTCAACTGTGCAGAGGCGTGGACGAGAGCTGAGAGGTGGAGACGAAGGACGAGAGACGAGAGACGAGAGACGGACGAGAGGTGAGAGGCGAGACACGACGGACGAGAGGCGACGTAGGAGAGGCGACGGAAGAGAGGCGACGGACGAGACACGAGAGGCAGGGGACTTCAAAGCAAGAAAGGCTGCAGAAAGTTAGAATTAGTAATAAAAGGCGAGGATCATGGGAGAAACACAACATACTTCAGGTACTTTGAATAACTGCGGCTCCAACACAACATGTGGCAAAATGTAGATTGGTTTTGCTCCTGGCAATGCCACTTGGGCGTCTGCGATAGGCTGGAATCGCTTGATATTCGCAGTCCTCTGGGGAAAAGTTTTCTTGCGAATCTCGCTGGACAGGACAGCTGCTGGAGTGTGTTTTCGTTCAATTTACCATCGTCAGGAGGGGCAGGCTTGGTTCTGTTGAGTGGCTGAGCACGCAGGTCGAGGCTTGTGCTTGGAGAATCATGGTGATCGAGTCTCTGATGCTCAGCTGGAAGCGTTTCTGAATGTCTAGTGCGATGCAAAGTCGGAGCGAGCTCATCGGATGACTGAAGGAACGCTTTGGACAGTTGTCATGATTGGGAAAATGCGTGGCAAACGCTTCCATGATGGATATATTAGCAACAAGAAGACTGGAATTGACGAGGGATGCGTATGACGGAGGTGAAGTCGACCTGATGATTCTCAGGGCTTGAGTGAGAGGAGACGGGTGTCAAGACGGTCGGATGAAGGGGCAAATGGAAGAGAGCAAGGGGAAACAGAACCACCAGGAGGACAGAGAAAGGGTGGCCATGCGTTTGGTGCATTTGGCTGCCTCAGGTACAAAACTCGAGAAAGGCAGGCGCACTGATCTGAGATCTCGTGGCTCGCACTACTAATGTAGGGCCCATGCACCTGCTTCTTGCCTCTGGAGATACTGGCCCGCCTTTGTACCCACGTACCTACCTACCCAAGTTCTTACCTGTTGGATACGGCCACACCCCCATTACTGCCTCAGCTGTGCCAAAAACCAAGTGCCTAGGTACGTACCTACGTCGAGTTACTTACGTTGGGTTTCGAGTCTGGGAGAGCGGTAGAGCTCCTCTTGGCGAGTGTCCCTTGCGCCACCGACATAGCACCAGGGCAAAAGGCTCGAACCTTGGCCGCCTAACTCATAGAAACATGCACAACTAGCGGCAACTTTCAGAGACTGCTGCAAAAGCCATAATGAACTCGTGCTTCTCCCGCAGGTACATAAGCACCTTCTGCTCTATTCACAGGTGGGGATGGTCCCTCAACCTATCCCCACCTCGTTCTCTTCGCTCCTTCCATCTGCACAAGAACACAACTGATAAGCACGTCATCGACACGAACAGTGGCGCTGCCTCAACGAGAATGGAGACTTCTAATACGCCCGGCATACAGCAGCGTCTTCCTTCCTGGTTGCGATTCGGCACCCGAGCCGAGAAAGTGACCGATGCCAAGCCCAAAGGTCCGATGGGGCAAAAAATCCATCCAAATGGCCCTCCACCCTTCCTTCCCCTTTACGAGGATCTTCACGACACACCCTTCAAGCCAATCCGCAGGCAAGAGGAACGAAGGGTTCTAGAGAGTGTTGATGTCATCATGTCGCAAGTCCGCAAGGAGCTCGACGAATTCGATCCAGGCACACTCGATCTAATCGCCGTCGAGCACAACATCCGCAGCTGCTGCATTCTAAGAGCAACTTCCGCCTGCCGAGCACTAAGATACGGTGACGACATGGGAGAAAATGAACAAATGAAAAGGAAGACGAAAGAATATATCAAGGCGGTAGTGGGTGTAGTTCATGGGTCCAAGAACAAAGAGTTAGTTCGGCTTATTATGGAAAAAGCCGCCCTGGAGGCACTTTACTATCGGAAAGCCTTGAAGCCATGCGATATCAAGTTGGGGACTTACTTTGAAGAGGATCCTTCTGAGTACCGGTATATCGGCCTTACCTAGGGTAGCGGCCTCTCTACGGAGTACTCACTTGTCTGTCGAGGGCGTGGAAGGAGCTGGTGAGGGCAACCCCCACATTACCTAGGTATGGTTAGATGTTCAGGAAGGTCCCCTGGGAAACTCACCCTTGGAGGAAGGTCCTCCTAAGTAAACCAGTCTTTAATAAAACATCCATTTCTCCCGCACGACAAAATTTTCTTTTCTCTTCCCTCTTCGTCCGCAGATGAAGAGAGAGCACACACACACACACGCACGCACACACACACACACACTGACAGGGCAGCAGCAGCAGCAACAGTAACAACAGCAGCAGCAGAAACAACAGCAACAACCCCAGCAGCAGAAGCAGCAGCAACAGCAGAAGCAACAGAAGCAGCAACAACAACAACAACAGCAGCAGCAGCAGCAGCAACAGCACAATGGCTCCCATTGTGAGCGTCGTGACGACGATGACGACGATGATGACGATGACGACGACGACAACGGCCACGGCCACGGTCACGGTGGCCGCCGTCGTCGGGGGTGGCGGCGGAGACATCAGCACCTGGGTCGGTGCCGTGGGGGTCTGGCTGGGCCCGATCCTCCCAGCCGGATGGGTTGTGGCTCTCTGGCGCCGGTAGGTCCGGCGCCAGGAGCAGCTGCAGGACCAGCAGCGGGAGCAGGAGCAGCAACAGCAGCAGGAGCAGCAGGAGCGCCAGGAGGAGCGGCGGGGGTGGGAGCGGGAGGAGGAGGAGAGGAGGGACCGGGCTGGCCACCCGGTCCCGGGCTTCGAAATGAGGCCCATCGAGATCGAGTCGGCCGGGGCCTGGGCCAGGGCCACCACCACCGCCACCCACGACGCTGGGGTGGGTGCGGCTCCAGTGAGACGTGTTTCTTAATTTTTTCTTTTTTTTTAGTAATTTCATAATATGACTTGTTTTCTGGTGGTGCTTCTTTCTTTACCTCTTCTTATGGTCTTAGAAAAAACATTTGATGGCTGTTGGGGACACGCACATGTGTAGAGTTGATGCCAGGGTGCATGTAGACGAAAATCGCAAGCATACTGACAGACTCGACAGCGCTGCAATTCCGACAGAGCGTAACAAGTAACGGAGAAAGAGGATTAAACCAGCACACTGCATGGAAGGGAAATAGGAAATGTCGTGTCTGGGTATCTTACAAACAATTAATAGAAGATAACAGTGTTGATGGGGTAAATCAAGGTGCGCCGATCGACTGTCTGGAATATTTATCAAGGGCCCCTTTATCAAACAACTCTGTAATTCCTAGCAATATTGATACCGTGAGGTATTGATCGCAAGTCCCATCCTGCCGATTATTGCGGGCTATTTGAACCATCTGTTGGAAATAAGATTGTCGAGTAACCGAAGGATTCTACCAGCCAAGCCCAAGTTTGCGAAGGCCTATTACTCTTCCTCTTTGCGTTGAATCCCATCTCAATCTCGGATGCAGTAAGATATGCCGAACACAGGAATGCTTAGCCTGCATATATATTGGGTGATTTATGTGGCATTGAGATACTGTGCTGCCCAAGGCCCAATAAGTCGGACGGGCAACAAGCTGGCAGCGTCATTGCCCACCCTGGTGTTGGCATAGCTCCAAATTGGAGTTGACCAAACAAAGAAAATCAGAACCCAAAACAAGCCCAAGATACGACGGATCGACAAGGGCAGGACTGCAGAGACTACCGGCGCAATGGTATCCTCAGCCATTATGACGAGAGCATGCAGCATAAAGAAGATTATGGCACCGTTCTCATTATTTGGAACACCCATGAGCTGGTCCGCACGGTAGTGGATTGCGCCGGATATAAAGAAGGCAATGGCAAGTCTCGTATACCGGGATATCAGCGAGTGGCGGGGCAAGAATGGGAGAAAATTGTCGACAACTAGGTCAGCGTGGCCGGTCAGGAAGCTCCTGAACATCTGGTGCCAGGTAACACTGCGAGGCAAATGGTCAGTATTTTAGCACAACACCCTGCAGAGGATGGAGTCACATTACCCCCAGAAGCGACGCACGGTAAACGCGTCAAGGAATGACCCAAACAGGGGTATACAGTCTTCAGGCTGGCTGATGTTCAAGAGCACAACAACTATTGCGCCCAGATTGTTCATGAAAAGGACAAGAACGCCAGTCGAAACCCAATATGCAATGGTCATAGAAACACGGAATATGACATCCTCGGTGTGTAGTTCGTGCAGGGAGAAAAGAGTTGCTTTGCTGATTTGTATGAGCGACGGGTCAGGGGGCGGCATCGAGACGAGGAAGTCGACAAAGAGGTAGACGCCCAACGTAGTCGCGGCACGGCTGAAGACAAAGCCGGCGCGGGACTGTTGGCTCGCCGCCGCAGCAGTCTTTACCTGCCATCGCGTGCCGATACGACGCATGCTCCACAGGAGACCAGCAGCATGTGTTGATGAAGTTTGGCCAGGTGGCAGCTGCGAGGAGTCTACGCGAAGCGCCAACAACAGGTCTGATGCGCTGAGGAGTTGAACCCAAAGTAGCGAGCCGGCAGTGCCGGCCCAAAGTGGTCGGTTCCTGGCCAGGCATATTTGCACAATCAAGTATTCTTGAAAATAGGTGACGGCACCCAAGACTACAAGTCCCAGAACCCGTTTGGTAGTGGCCTGCGCTGTAGTTCCAAGGAGAAGGAGAACAAAAAGCCATAAAAAGACTGCCTGGCCGAAAAAGAACGGCACGAGCCACGATAATGACCCAGACGACATGTCGAGAGCCATCTTGGCTTGTGGTGTGAATTGCGGGACGAATTGAAGAAGCACCGGTGGGTGAGTGAAGGGTGAGATGTGTAAATTTGTTAGTTGGGAATGGATAAGCAAGAGGAGGCAGCCAAAAACTCATTCATCCTGATGGCTGGAATCTTATGTCAGCACTAATTTCCTCGGCGCGCGAGAATTGTACATAGAAAACGGATTCGGTTTATTGACGTGCCTTTTCTGTGGTGCCCATTCCTGTGTTCTGAATTGCTCTCGTTTTTTCGTCAGATCGACGAGATATTGCTGAACCAATGAGAGTGCGTAATTGTTGTGTTGGCTGTAACGCAACAACTACATTTTGCCATTGTTTGCATTGCGAGCAGGGAAACATAATTACTTATCCACTAAAGGAGCCAATGGGATCCGACCCTGCTGATTTATTCGGTAAGAACATGCCCGACAACGGGTGACCTGGGAGAGATGTGCCGATGGACGCGCGCGGCGTAATCCTAAGCACACAAATGGGTCTATCATATATTGGCACCCGATATCACAACTCGCTAGAGTCAAGTTACAGGTAGCTTCTACCAAATTCGCTATCTGGAGTAACTACCCAGGTAGGCAGATTATTAATGAAATAAAGCTAGGTCAGCTGTATGTTGATTGCTCGTCGCTATTAGACGTAAAGCGAAAGCATTGCAGCATGCCATTATATTTTCTTCTCTAGGGAATAAACCATGGCCATCTTATTTCTATTTTCTACCCCAACCAGCCTCAATAACCTCCCTGACAGTGCGAGCCTGAATATCCGGAAACGTCTGATTCAAGGTCTTGGAAGGCTGTAAGCAAAACAACCCTTCCTCAAACCAGACCCCAAATGTTGCGAATAGAGCTTGAAGGTGCTCCTTCGGCATCTGAGAGTAGAGTGATGGATGAGAAGGCAGCTCAGTGATCCTTCCTGACAGAAGCAAGTCGAGACGGTCGTACGTGACCGAAAACTTCTCTCCTGGAAAGCGTTTAAAAATTCAGCCACATCATCGACGAGTTTTTGGGGTTGGGTTTTGTCACGCTTAATTTTACCTTTGACCTCCTCGGCAATGTTAAGGAATTCGTTCCACGTCTTAACGTCACCAATGACATAGCTCTCACGATCCCAGCGTTCAAGGTCCAGACTCGCCGCTACGAACTCGGCAACGTCAAGTGTATGGGAGAAGACGACGGGCGTATTTCCCGTTCCCGGTATCGCGGCGGTGTTGTGCTCGATGTCAATGGCAATAACATTCTGACGCTGGAAGGACTTAACCTTGGGGTAGCCCCAAAAGTCCAGAAAGTAGCCGACGTAGAACAAGGTGTACTCCAGGGAGCTCTTCTCTAGTGCCTCCACGGCCTCGAGTTTAGCTTGACCAATTTGCATTCGTCGATCGCCAACTTCTCTATAGCATCGTTAGCAGTATCCGCAGTGTAAGCCGCGGACGTGGGGACCGGTAGGCTTACTGCCGGGAGTACGGGATCCCCCAGATGCTCGGAATGAACCGATGGGTACTGGCCGATGCCTGAGCGGCATGGACAAGGTTGACCTGGGGCGTACCATCATCCGTGACGAAGAGGGTGGAAACAACAGTGTCAACATTGTTTTCCTCAAGGACCTTTCTCATAGACGCTACATCGGTATAGTCAATGGCTATCACCTCGATGCCAGACTCAACTAGAATTTGGGGGTTAGGCTGCTCGTCGTATGGCAACCAGGAGTCAGCCAGCGGCCTAATAACGTATCCACGGGACTCTTACGGATCTGCTGAGGATCTTGACGCTGTATCCCTGCTTGCGGTGAACGGCCTCTGAGATAGCTCGGCCGATGCCGCTCGTGCCGCCCGCGACGGCGATGGTACCCATTTTGAATACGGGCTTTCTAGACAAAAGAACGGTTGAAGCTCAGAGTCATTGCACCCATGAGAGTTGGGATATTTATATATCTAGACTGATTTACACAATTTTTTAAGATGGCAACTCGGTAGAAAGGAGCAATGAAAGTCATTAGATCGGGTTAGCAGTTAGACCGTCCGTACCCCTCGGGGATGACGTAGCCTTTACAGCTGAAGATATTAGGATACGCTTGAAGTCATAACGTTTTCTACCAGGACATGATTGGTCATCATCGTGCGGACTACAACCATCAATATCAAGTCCGCACACGGGAGAATAGGGTGACACGGCGAGACAGTTCGTCCGATCCAGCCTTGGTAGCATTGATGATTACCATATTGGGTAACGGATCGTCTAACTTTGGTCCGATTTGTCACTTGCCGGTTTCGCCAACTTTTGATCGCATGTGTCTGAACTCACTACTTATTAGCCTTCGGCGGCACTTTGCGATTTTGGAGGATTCTTATAGTTCTATACACAGTACCTGATATAATATGGTGAATGTAGCAATCGCTGGTGGGACGGGAGGCGTCGGCCGCTCTATCGTGGACGCGCTCAAGGCCAACGGAGGACATAATGTCACCATCTTATCACGAAAGGTGAGGTCGATCTATCAGGAAATCAATGGCTTTTCCAGCTGAGTTGTCCTCTCTAGGTATCTGAAGATGTCAACGGCTACCCGGTCATTGCCGTTGACTACGATGATATCGACGGGCTCCGCACCACTCTAGAGCAACACCGAATCCATACGGTCATCTCCGCCCTTGCGATGCATATCATCGGCGTAGGCAAGTCCCAGCTAAATCTCATTGAAGCCGCCGACAAGAGCATGTTCACCAAGCGCTTTGTCGTGAGCAACTGGGCTGTTCGACCGAACTTTCAGTAAGGCCTATACCCTTGGTGCGCGCTGGATATTGCTTACTTCCTTACTAGGTATATGGATCTTCTCCCTCATGGCTTTCAGCACATCACCTGCTATGAAGCATTGCCCAAGACGTCTTTGGAATGGACAGCCTTTAATTGCGGCTGGTTCTTGGAGTACTACGCCATGCCGAATGTAGAGACATATATTCCGCAGACGACCTTTGTCGTCGACATGGCTGGTCTCCAAGCTGCAATTCCAGGTGATGGCAAGCAGAAGATGACATTCACGTATACCAAAGACGCAGCAAGATTTGTCGTCGCAGCATTGGGCTTGCCGAAATGGGAGCAGAACACGTATATCATTGGAGACAAGATGACGTGGGAGGAGTTCGTACAGGTCGCTGAGAGAGCTCGAGGTAGGACTTGGACCGCACATTTGATTTCGCTGAAAACGGGTACTGACAAATCCCTTGTGAAAGGCAAAAAGTTCACAGTAACCTACGACAGCGTTGAGGAGCTCAAAGCCGGCAAGATCACCGAGCTTCCGGGGCAGATCGCTGCGTATCCCTACTTCCGCAAGGAATGGGTCCAGCGCCTGTTCTCTGTGTTCGGGTTTTGGGTCACGGAGGGATTGTTTGACTTGCCAGATGACAAGGCCCTGCATAACGTGTTTCCAGACATCAGGGCCACAACAATCGAGGAGATGCTTACCCAGGCATGGAAGGGGCAATAGTAGAAGCCTCATATAGAACCATTCTGTATCTTTCCACCACAACCAGTACAGTAACAACCACTTCGGATCCAATCTCGTTATCCCATCTAAAGGACAGTGACTCTCCGTTTGATTTCTTCCCCGCCGCCTCTCAAGGCTAGATCCCGAATCGTCGCGGGTTTTCTTGTTCGAGGCCAGACCGATCGGGACGATATCGAGAGCTACGTTCGGTCTCCACGCAAATCAATGGGAAACATTGGGCGGCGAGCACGACCGCGCGCCGATGAAATGGATTCCACGAGTATGTACAGTACTCATAAGCCAATACAAAATCCCGTTTGGTTCATAACTCAACAACTAATTTCTTCCCGCGATTCTTTCCGCCTCGCAAGTCATCCAAACCCTCCAAAATCCCATCCCATCCATTCTTACGCACAGACGTCGGTAACGGCTTCAGCGTACCCTCATTGAGAAGTTCAGGTAGCTTGGCGTAGAATCGTGCCAGGGCTGCACGGTCGTTTGGCATGGCTGGAAACTTGGGGCCGATCGGTGCCAGGAAGTGGAATGGCCGTCCGAATAGCGTATACGACATAATCAGCTCGTGTTTGATAGCAGTATTCTTGGGTTTTGGCGGCGGTAGTAGCGTGATGAGTGTACCGCCACTGCTGCCCAGAACGGCGTCACATATAGCGAATGACTTCCCTTCGGAAAAGCAGTCTACCCCCATTGTGATGCCTCGGTACTGCTTTGCGATGGTATCGCCAACAAGAGGCTCATTGTAGTCGAAGACGGCGTCGGCACCATAGCTTTTGACCAAACCTGCCGACTTTGGTGAGGCTGTTGTCACAACGGTACAGCCAGCTGCCTTGGCGACCTGAATAGTGAAGAGACCGGCGGCCGTAGCCCCGGCATAGACGAAGATGGTGGGCTTTACGGCCTCTCCGGCGGGGTTGTTGTGTTTGGGGGCCTCGTCCGCCCATGGGAGACCAAGGCGGGCATTGATTGCGTGCATAGCCGTGCAGGCCGAAATACCGAACGTCGTAGCTTCCGCATCACTTACACCCTCTGGGATCTTCCAGGCCAGATCCGCATCCGTCTTCAAATATTCGGCGAATGAGCCACGGTCAGGGTACAGTCCTCCGTGGACGGCGCCGGCAACCCGATCACCCACAGACCATGATCCTGTGGCATTGGCACCAACTTCGACGACCTCGCCGGCAAAATCGCACCCAATGATGGTTCCCGGCCACGCAATAGCGTCGATATGCTTGAAGTCTGTCGGATTCAACGCCACGGCGCGAACCTTGACAAGGATCTCATCAGGCGAAATGATGGGTTTGGGGACATCTTGGTAGGCGGCACCCGAGAAGCCGACTTGTCGACCAAGAGCCAAGGAGGCAATCCTAGACAGGAGATGAGATTTCGAGACGAGAGCTTTCATGGTCGATTGAGGTCATGAAATGAATGCTGTGAGAGCTTCCGGAACCATGAAGCCCAAGGTTGGTTTTCATCAGACTAATAAATGGGACAACTTACTTGGGGGGATTCAAACTCATCCCCAAGTAGTTTAAAAAAGAAAAATAAACTTTACTAGCACAAAACCACTAGCCTCTCATAGGGCCGCTTGGGCCGGTAGAGTTTGCGACGAATCTACATTGAAGGCGGACGCGGGAAAGGAATTACGCCGCAGGTGGAGATCGGAGATTCATAAGCATGCTAACTCGGCGACCATCATGTCATGGACCTTGCCAGCCTATTTGCAGTTTGTATTGAAATAGGAGAGTTAGGCTTCATACGCCTCCCTGCCGACGAGATATTGCACCCATCTCCACACTCATATGTGACCCCATTTCTCATTCCCGTATTCGGTCCAACAGTCACCCCTAATTCTACCAGTAGACCTTTTTGCTTCCCGAGGATGTCACCATCTCGCGATTAATGTCGGCTCCGGAATCCAGAACATTCCTATGCTAGTAGTGCTGAATAATATGCCAGTCCTTCAGAGGAGTAGAAGATCAGGACGTAAGATGGATACAAGCCACACACCTTCGCCTTGCATTTATAAGTAGTGTCCGGATTTCTTCTCGCCTCTAGTCTCGTGTCCAAACAATATATTCCCTTCCTCACCCCTCTGGCCGCTCCACTGCTCTATGCTATCCCGTACGCTCCGGACACAGCACGCGAGGAACAAAACAAGGACACTTACCGTCTCCCATTTCGGCATTTGCCAGCTTGGATGAGGTACTGTTCTAAGCATGACGAACCCTGACCTCTCCGGCAAGGTCATCATCGTGACCGGTGGCAGTAGCGGACTCGGTAAAGAGAGCGCTCTCCAACTCGCCAAGTACAGCCCCCGCACGATCTACATCACGGCGCGGACTGCTGCCAGAGGCAACGCCGCCATCGATGAGATACTACGGGAAGTTCCATCAGCCCATGGCATTCTGAAATTTCTCGAGCTCGACCTTGGATCCCTCGAGTCGGTCCGGCGCGCAGCAGATACCTTCTTAGCTCAAGCTGATCGGCTAGACGTTCTTATGAACAATGCTGGCCTCATGGCCTCGCCTCCCGGTCTAACAGCGGACGGCTATGAGGTTCAGTTTGGGTCCAACTACGTGGGACCTGCTTTGTTCACCAAATTGCTCATGCCGATTATTGAGAGAACGGCGGCCCTCTCAGGTAGCGACACGCGCGTCATCAACCTCAGCTCGGAACTTTTCAAACAGGCTCCCAAGGTAGGACTACTTTTGGATCAGTGCAAGACTCCTCTCAACGACATTTCGGGGCTCGCGCGCTACGGGCACGCCAAGCTCGCCGATCACTACCACACCTTGATACTGAGTCGTGAATACCCAGCCACGATGTTTGTTTCTATCCACCCCGGTGTCGTCAACACAGGCCTGCTAGATGATCTAAAGAAAAGGCGCCCATGGCTCGGCATGTGCATTAGCGCTCTGGCTTCCCTCTTCATGACCGATGTCCACAAAGGCGCACAGGCGCAATTGTGGGCGAGCACGACGACGCGGGAGTCTCTGAAGAGCGGAGCTTTTTATAATCAGCACCGGAAAGAATACACTGACGCTGTCCTTTTCCAAGTAGACAGCGCGAAGAAATTATGGGAGTGGACGGAAGCGGAATTTAGCGCAAAGGGGTGCTAAATCAACTTTGTGAGGGAATTGGCATATGGAGAAGCGGGTATTTTGATCTCAATCTTGCCTATAGTCTATGTCAATAGCATTTCGATTGGTTTGGTTTCTTCAGACATTTTATCAAGTGACGCAGTTGGCCGCCCTTTGTCCCGTGTTTAATCCACAGACAACTTACACCCGAAACAGGTTGTCTATGAATTCCATAGCAATAATTAGCGTACCATAGCCGGAACCCCTGCCCCGGAACCCAGGAGTTAAGTTTCAAGTCCCACGCGACAAGAACTCCCGCCTGATCTAAGTGAACAGCCACAAATCCTTGGTTTCATTAAATATATTACATGAGATTGCGATTAATTTGTTAGGAAATCCAATCCAATAGGTAGTGCACCGCGATTCAATCTCAAGTTAGCTAGCTACTCATACATTATTCAGTCGGATTCTCTTATCGGCAGATTCTCCACTTCTTAGTTACCCCACCCCACTCATTGCATCTCCGCCAACGCTATATCCATTTTCCACTTATCGCCTCCAGCCGGACACTTTATATAAACCTCCCGTGCATTAGGTGGTAGTCCGAAATATAATTACCAACCACTCCACTAAATGTCATTTGAAGCGGTTTCAACCCCTTGATGTACATCTAGAGAGCAAAACTGTTGGAACGTGGGCCCTGTATGCCAGCTGTTGTAGGCTGCGTGGTTCGACAACTTATATAGATAGAAAACTTGGTGTCAATATTAATCTCAACTGCTTGGGTCATTTCCCCAGCATTTATCCTCTGGCTCAGTTGTCTCCGGCCTCTACAGTGAGCTCACAATCTCCATCTAGCCAGAGGGTACTGGGCGATACGAAATCCGCGACTTGGTTGTCCGAACTCATGAAGTCATCAGACATGCTATATATCCAGGCCTGTTCGTCGCTCGTATTTTCTGTCTCGGTCTCGTTATCGACAAGAGCACACATTGTTTCTGAAAACAAGCTTTCTGCTTGCATTGACATTTGAGACTCGGGAGACAGGATGTGTGACGCATCACCCCCGGACGTCCCAAGGCCAGGAGAGGCTTGGTGCTCCTGCGAGCCGATGCTGTCGATGCTCCCGAAGATCATATGCAGCATTTTACCCTTGCTCTCCATTTGCTCCTTCTGTCGGATCTTCAAGTTCTCACCGCAGACTTCTTGTAATTTCTCCGTGATGAACAGGTATCTTTTCGCCACAGCATCATGCTTGCTAAACTTGAACAACACGTCGTGGCAAGCTTCCATATGGTGGATGATGGGCGTGGCGTCATCTAGGTCAGAAAATAAGGCCAAGCCAAGCACCAGGGCTGCTACGAAGGCCGAGTTGACGACATAGGGGAGTCTTTTAGGAGTGAGAGATGAAGATATCATGGGTTGGAGCAGCTTAGCTGTCCGGATTGCCGAGTCAATACAGGCCTGGACCAGTATAGCATGGGAGGCCGAAAACTGACGTGAAGTACTAGTCGAGCCGGTAAAATTTGTTTGCTCCGCCTTTCTTTGCTTCAATCGAAGGGTGACATATTCTACTAAGAATGGCCGAGAGAGCAACATTATTGTCCAGTAGTATGCCTCTTTCAGGTGAAGAAGTCCGATGTTTAGGGTCGCATCCCCCTGCTGATAGATACGCATGTCTGGTAATATTCCATCCGTCTCGAGACCACTCGTAAACCGTGATGACCATTCTCGATGAAGCTCGCTTATGTTCTCCAGACCATCAGTGGTGACATTGCGTTTAGCATAGATTTCTGTCAAGATATTCTCAAATATCCAGCAGAGATCGTTGGAGGCAGAATAGTGTGGACCAGACCGTGTATTGCGAGTCTCGTTTGTTGCCGGGGGACGGCCCAGAGACGCGCTCATGAAGTTGTCCAAAATCCTGAGCCCTCTCCAGAGCCGCTCGCGGGCCGTGTACTCGGTGGGATCGTGGAGCGCGGAGACATCCTGCCTATGCAATCCCAGCGCGTAAGCTCCGCGCACCGAGATGCCGAGATACATGAAGGCCGCATTTCTGCGTGAGCTGGCCAAAAGGTACATGGCTATGAGGGCGTAACACTGGACCATGGCGATGCTCGGGCCATCAACCAGTCTCATCAGCACGATATAACGCCCGTAGTGGAAATGTGCCTCGGCAATGTCATCGAAGTCCTTGGGACATGATTGGGCACCAAGGGCGATGATCAGATGATGCAACGCCACCGCGGAATGACTATAATCAGAGGGGTTGTCCAGCCAGCTGAATATGTTGTCATGTAACTTATGATCATCGAAAAGCGCCAAGACACACTCTGTTGTACGTTTGAACCATACAAGAAAGTACTCGACTTCGTCTTTGGTTGGCTTCGATGGACGCTTTGGAAAGTCGAGCGCAGGATCGTCGTGGGAGGTTCCCCAGGCGGGCTCCTCTACCATAGAATGGCGTAGGGAGTCGTTGACAAGGCCACAGGGGCCGAAGTTATCAAAAACAGTCCCACGAATGGTTTGCAGAAAGCAAATATTTGAGGCATCACCCATATACATCCCGGTACCCCGACTATCTAACATCAGCCTTGAAATATGAGGGATGTATAGAAGGCGATTACTCGGGCTGTAGGGGAGTCCTGTAGGTGGATCCTTGAGTCTGGTGTCTGTTGTCTGATATGGTGACTCGTTACTTGGGTCATCCAGAGTTGGACCCGATGAGGAACGGGAAGACTGAGAGCTCAGACCGGGGACTCTACAGAGAGAGTGGGCGCCCCTTTCAACACAGCGCTGGCATGGTTGGCAACCATCACATCGCTCTTTTCGTTTCTTGCAGCTGGTGCAGGCACGGACGCAGCGGCGTCGTTGGTCAGGGTGAACTCTCCTCGTTGGCATGTTCGAGTCCTTGCCGAATCAGTTGGAGGGCCGTCAAAGTAGGAGCTAGAAATGAAGAAAATAGCGTTGGTTGCATATCACAGTTGTCAGGATCCAGGGGTTTGCGGAGAGCAAACAAATAGGGAAATGCGGGGGAAAGGCAAACAAAATGCGAAATGCGGGGGTTTAAATATCCCTTCCCATCTCCATGATTCTGATGGCGCTAATATTGTGCTAGTTAAGATGCGGACTAATTTGAAATTAGCTTAGGTCCTATCACATTCGTCAAAATAGTCATCAAGAACCCCAAAGCTTGACTCGTCTCTGACACTAAATCACCTGGTCGACGGTCATCGACCAGTTTAAGTACTGGCGCCAACAACCAGTACCGGGCGATTGAGGGGGCCTACAATAGCTTGACCTAGCTGTCTTCCATCGAGACCGGCGATCGCTACGACTTGACCTAGCTGTCTCTCATCAAGATGGGCTGGTTGAGCTGGCTGCCTCAAGGCGAGGCTCCCGGTAGCCGAGATGAGTTGATCCACAGAATTTAGTAGGGGAGAATGTTTCTAGGAGTCCACGCTTCTAATAAGGACATAGGCATGAAAGCAGCGGATGCCTAACTGACTTTAAAGTCGTTGGCCGTCCGAGTGGGAGAGTAGAAGAACACATCCTTGCATTGACTATTGAAAAACGACTATCGAACAGCAACATGGTTTCACTAAGCAAATGTAAATCCCGTGTAGTCTCCTTCAGAGCATTTCTTCAAAGATTTGTAGTAGTTAGGGACTCCCCCGAGGTAGATTAAGCACTCGCGCGGTTTTCCCGGGATGTTATCACCCATATACCACTGCAGATATTATCAGATTCAAATCTCAACTTCGACAAGTCAAATGGATACATGGCAGCTACTTACCGATTTTGTGGATGGGAGTAGAGACATATCAGCAAATTTGCGAACGTCATCGCCCCAGGCTGCCTCTGCAGTCTCCCCTGCCTCTATCTTTTGCAGTTTCCTCTCTTTCATATGGTCCATTACCTTGAGGATGAAACTCCCTTGTGCTTCTGCACACGTGGGACCGTTGCACAATGCTGTCGGCGCTTGGGGCCCATAGGTAAAGAACATATTAGGGAAGCCAGTCGTGGCCATACCGAGGTAAGTCTTGGCCCCTGACTTCCACTTTTCGGCGATTTTCTGCCCCCCCCGACCCTGGATATCGATATTCATTAAACCACCTGTAATGGCGTCAAACCCTGTTGCGCAGACAACGTAGTCGAATTCCCATTCTTTCTCGGTTGTCTTAATTCCTCGCTCTGTAACTTCGACAATGGGTGTAGAGTTGACGTCAACAAGTGAGACGTTAGGTTGGTTGAATATCTCATAATATCCATTCTCCAGCGATATCCGTTTGCAGCCAAAGCTGTAAGGTTGTATCTCTGGTGCCAATATCTCTTGTAGGCGTGGGTCTTGAATTCGTGCTCTGACTTTCTTCTTCCAAAAGTCGTAGGCCTCCTTATTGGCATCCTCCCGAAACAACATATCGTTATATGTAGCAAGCCAGAATTGAAAGTCGCCCTGGCTCCACAATCCTTCATACACCATTTCCCTTTCTGCCGGTGTATCTTCGAAAGTGCCCCGCGGAAGGAAACTGAAGTCAAAACCCCCAAAGCTCTCATAACGACCGTCAAACACCCTAGGGTATTTATCCTTCGTTAGAGGCTTTGTATAGTCGACTTGTTTCATAGGAAGGGCCATGTTTGGTGTCCTCTGGAATAAAACAAACTCGCTTGCTACTTGGCTAAGCTCCTGGGCTAGCTGCACACCCGTTGAGCCGGTTCCAATAACAGCGACTCTCTTCCCTGTCAAATCGGGCTCCTCCTTGGGCCAGTACGAGGGATGGACCCATGCAGATGCAGGGAATTTATCAATGCCTTTCCAGTCGGGGGTGTATCGTTTAGCCGCGAACCCGGTGTTAAGAAGGAAATACTTTGCGCGGTATATATTACCACCCCCGCTCTCGATCGTCCAGGTTGCTGTCTCATCGTCCCAAGTAGCTTTTGAAATAAAGACCTTAAACTCCGTGTCTTTTCGAAGGTCCCATTTGTCTGCGACGAAAGTAAAGTAATCACGTAATTCTTTACTTCCCGGAAACCTCTGTGACCAGTTCCACTCGTCCCAGAGGTTAGGGTCAGAGAACTGGTAGAGGGGGACGGCACTGTCAACACGGGCGCCTGGATAACGATTCCAATACCAAACACCGGCGTAGTCGCTGGCAGTGTCAACCAGTTTGACCTTGTATCCAGCATCGCGGAGGTGTTTGAGTTGGTAGACCCCACCAAAGCCAGCTCCCACGATGAGAGCGTCAAGCACGGTTTCGTTGGGGATAGATGCCATAGTGTCGATGTAATAGAAACAATTTGGAGAGATTTACAGGCTCAATTTCAGGATGAGAAGCAAACGATATGCAACGCGAACTGCAGGTAAGCAAGTGTTAATTTATCACACTCGTAATCGTGCGGCATACCATTCTTATAACATCCTGAATCATAGCACCCACATGATGGAGGGTGCCATCGAAAATTAGCGCTTCCCTTTTCCTCCACGAAACGAAATGAATGCAGCCCTGCTCGAATGTTACTCAACGCCACGAGGTCACCAGGACCAAGTTTGCTGCACTAACAATACGCCGATAGCCTGGTAGAAGTGGGATCCGACTGTCCGCCGGGTAGGAGGAGAGCCCACTTGCGAATCCGAGCTGAAACATCAAAGTGCAATGCTCAACAGGTCTTGTCTCATGATGACATCCGAAACTTCAGGAAATCTAATTTGTCGGCATCTCACCGGCCGGAAGGCCATCGGATACCGGCGGATGAAGGGTATCACGAGTGGGTTTTCGGATGTAGTCTATTTAACCAAATTTAGCCTAGGTCCCGGTGGCATCGGCAGGCTACGATGATGGCGATGGAACAAGAAGATTAGGTCTAAATAACCTCCTCGGAAATTCTATTTATTTCGAAACATACTGGTGATCTGAAAGCTAGCTCATCAAACAGAAAAACATAACAGACAAAACAACTGATCGCTTCCTAACAATGGCTGTCTACTTGGATTCTTGGCACAACGTGAGTAGACACTAATAGAGTTGTTTGAAGCGAATAAACTCGAGAGACTAACATAGCTGATAGTTTGAGGAGAGTATGGGGGGCTCTCGGCCTGTCTTGAAAGGCACGGCCGAGGAGATGCGAAATCAATTCTCCGGGCTAATTTCTTTCCTCGCGACACAAAGAACTCGAACTTGGGACAATCTCACTGTCAAAGATGATAATATTAACGGTATCGCAATCCGAACCTATATTCCAAAGTCTTTTGAGGGGAAAGATGCCCCCGTGGCCGTTTTCTACCACTCAGGGGGCTTTGTCGTGGGTGATTTGGATTCCGAAGACGCTTTTTGTCGCACGATCTCTGCCGACGCCAATATGGCAGTTATTAGTGTTGACTATCGACTGTCTCCCGAGCACAAAGCGCCTGCGCAGCTCGAAGATGCCCTGGCCGTCTTTGAGTGGGTGAGTCCTATCCAAATCCTACATCGAGAAGGCGAAACCGAATCCCAACCTAGTCCGCACAACATAGATATATAAAAACGCAAGCAGCATCGGAGTATGTTCCGCACGGATGTTCACCATTGGCACTTCCGCCGGTGGAGCATTAGCCCTGGCGGTTACTCGAAAGATTGTGCTTGGCCAGTCTACCGTTCCCACAGATACAGTGAAAGGAATATTCGCACTCTGCCCGTTGGTTGTCCATCCTTCGAATGTCCCCGCGGAGTACAAGACTCTATACACTTCATTCGAAGAGCACAAAGAAAGAGTGCCTATAATCGACAAAGAATGTCTGTTAGAGATGTACAATTGCGCTGGCCTCCAGCCCAATAACCAGAACTACTACCCGGTTTTAGATCCCGAGAGCTTGAAAAGGTTTCCCCCAACCCATATCGTTACCTGCGAGAATGATCCCCTGCGGGATGATGGGAAGTTATTGAGTAGTGCCCTCTCCGCTTCTGGAGCTGTTGTGGATACAAAACACTTTGATGGCTTGCCACATTGCTTCTGGATAATTCCATCTCTCCCTGAATCAGAACTCTTTCTACAAGACTTAACTCGGAGAGTGAAAGAGGCCGTCAAGGGGATGTCTCTTAGTATCAATTGATCCAGCTCTGTTTTCGTTGCGCATTTATAGCGAGTGATTTCATGCTCTTGAAGGTGATGTACACACATCCTAGAACTCATCAACCGTACAGAGGCTGGGGGTTAAATCATTATTTTTCAGGGCAATTTGATTACTTGTTCTTTATGCCAAGTAATCTACACTGACCTTATATGAGCTTTGTTTATTATTATAGCTTGACACTTAACTAACATCTAAGTGTCATGGGAAAACGAGGAAATTGATGTTCGGTTATTTTCAACTATTAAAAGAAACGACTTAATACATTTTCTCATTAGAGTAAGAAATAATTCGACCGGAAAGAAAACAGCATGTGATCTATACTCATCCTTCCATTTCATACATTGGCGCTGCGGTTGCGACTGCACATTGGTAGGAAGGCAATTCTGCAATGAAGTCCGAGCCTGCTTGTCTCTCAACTGCTGGTGGTAGGATGACTATAGGCTGTGAGCCACTTGTTTTGCATGACCTGCCCTCGATTTCACATTCGATCCTCCAATGCAATATATGATCAGCCTTGATATTGCAGATGGAAAAGCTGTGAGATAGCGTATCAGGCAAAGAAGATGACTGGAGGCGAATGTCTACCGCATGTCCCACGTCAATGGGCGGTAACTTCTCCGCCGAAGGAATCGTGATGTCGGAGAAATAGGATGATGGAATGTGCTTGGTGAGACTTTTGTAGCTTTTCAAGCAATCGTCAATGCTTCCAAACGTTGTCTCGGTTTTGATATCCACCACCGATTCTATTCCCACCTCAACAAAATTCACCCGCACCGCCGGCGCCATTTTTTCTGCTAATTGGGACATCCTCGGCCATGTAGTTTTGGCGTGTAGCAACAAAGATAATGGCTTGGGGTCATCGATCTGTAGAACTGCTGGCGCCCATGTTTGGAGCTCACATTGGATTTGTGTACCTGTCGATGAAGATCTGAGTATGTTCATAAGCTTTTGAGACGTCGAAAGCTGGGGTTTCGGTTCCGACGGCGTGAGAGAAAGATCCGAAATTTCGACGCTCATAATGCTCTTGCTAAGCTGCAGACTGTTGTCCACATCGGAGCCGGCCTTCTCGGGAGCAGAGGCCACGATCCTGACAGGTAAAATCGCTGCCTGGCTTTCGGATTTGCCTCCCCTCTGCAGTTCCAATGTGGCTTTAAGGTAGTACTCAACAAGGCCTTCGTTATAATCCCCATCGGACATCTCAAAACTCCCAGGCAATGGCTCCCTCCCAATTGCTCTACCAATGGGCTTGAAATACTCGCGGCCATACTTCTTATCTGCCACCCAACTAAAGTCGATGTGTGTCGGTAGCTTAAATGCGAAAGGCCACTCCTGGCCCAGCTCTTCCCGATCATCACCCTTTCCAATGTGAAGCGGCCCCTGAAAGACACTCTGCCTGTTCTTGTCGCCCTGGAAAATGTCGAATTGGCCTTGGTACTTGTCAGCCCAGCGCACGCCTGATCTCATACGTGTGCGGCTGACTCCATGGAGAGAGACCTTGATAGATGCCTCGGACACGACATGGGATGTGCGGTAGACCCAGCCAAGAACGGTCTCTCCGGGTCGGTAGATGTTGTCTTCCCTGTCCAAGCGTATGCCCAGATCTGGAGTGCATGTGTTTGGAATTAGAGGCATGGTCACTGCTGGCAGCTGTGTGGATATGTTCTCCTCGAGGCGATTGCTAGAAGAAAGCACAATATGTGGCTGAATGGTTATTCAAGTATCAAAAGTGATCGGGAATGCCCCAGTCCACCCTACGCATTGTCAGCCTCGTTGAGCTGTTGGTAAGATGATGACATCCCAATGGGGCTGTGTAAACAGAAAGCCTTTGGGGGAACCAATGGAAACCAAAACGACGGCCATTGCACAGCTGATTGACCCGTGCCAAGATGGTAAGCGTGGAATACAGACACAAAAATCAATCGCCACATATTGCTATGTTTGGGAAATCTATGGTCAAAATCAAGGGCCGTAGATGACGGAGGATGGAGGCGCCACTTTATATGCTACCTGCTGTATTTATCTATCTAGGATGCCGTACGAACATCGTATTTATACAAAGGAAAATTCTGATACGTAAATATCTGGTCTGTAAGGATCTCTGGGGATCTCTGTTTAGCTGTTTCCATTAGTGCCATTAGGGGCGTCGAGATGGAATTCCGCCGCTCCTGGAGTTTGAGGTGTGTAGTAGCCCAAGAAGCGTAGCCCAAGAAGCCCCCCATGTAAATTACTGCATTAAACATTTCGCAGTTGGGGAAAAAAGCTGATTCCAATCACCAATGCCCTAGACGATATAGAAAATCAAATACCAAAGTGAACATAAGGAACCCAACTTGGAGGACTCATACAATCCTCATCATCGACTGGCAGTATGTCCCTCCCATCCTGCCCTTCGTCGTCTTTGAGATCAGCATTATGTGCGATTTGTGCACGTCGTAAAGCTCTCCTGCAAGATCTGTTCTCGATCTCAGACACCCACTGATCCCGAAGCAATAGTAGAGCGTTATGAAGTCCTTGAGCTACTGACTCATTCCTCATGCCTCCGTCTCTTATTCCCTTATACACTACCTCGGCCACATCCACACAGGTTTTATCGCTGACCTCCCAGAGGGTTCCAATCACATGCAGAAATCCAGAGAGCTGGCATGCGCTGATAAGATGAAGACTCTCATCGACCATACTCCTGGATCCCACCCGACCGGTTCCGCACGCTGAAAGGTAGGCTAGGAATGGTGGCCGTGCGAAAAGATTCAGATTGAGGAGGTCGTTTACTCTAACTGGGTTCTGAGAGCCTTCTTCGAGACATAGATAACTCTTTCCTGGGTCATCTCTCACCGTGCACCCGTGACCAGCAAAATGGAATATATTGCAGTGTTGTAGATCCTTCAGGACCGCTTTCTTATTCCGCGCAGGCTCGCTGATAGTGTGATTTATTGAATTGCAAAGCGGCTTCAATACTTTTATCTCCTCCGTTGCGTAGGGAAGCCTGCTCTGATATGGCGTAGTTTCCATCGCAACCAAAAGGGCCTTGGGAGATTCGTCAGAATTGACACGTCGTCGGCGGCCCTGTATGATGGCCCGAACAGAGGTGCTATAGGACGATACCACCCTGCTGAGGACCGTGTTGTGAGGTTCTTGGGTATGGTGGCCCGCCGCATGAAGCGGAAACATGGCGAGCTCTCCTGTTGGAATCCACCATACGTGTGGCCAGGGATCGTCGCCAACAACCGGTTGGGTATATCCAAGAGTGTCCAAGATGGGACCCATGGCTGTATCCCACAACCATCCCAGCACAGAAGGCCGCCCTAGTTGACCCTCGTCAATTGTGTTTGAAATTGCATCCCAGCTCAACTCGGGTAGAAAAATTGTCTGAATCTTGTTTGGCTGAATGATAATGGCATCGCACCCAGTATCTAAGTAATTGATTGTTATAACGACGATTGGCCCATGGGCGGCGGCATCTCGAAGCTCTTGTTCTGTTGGGGGACTGAAAAAAGCCTTGAATTCAGGTAGTCTTCCAACTTCCTCGAGCGTCCGGTCCATCTCATTCCCTACGTTGTACCGCATGTCAAAAGGAGCTCGTTGAACAAATACGTCTCTCTGAATTAGAGGGAAGCCCGAGACAGTAGAAGGAACAATTTCGAAGTTAGACAGCATATCTAGCTGGCTCCTTAAATTAATAAGTTTTTCCACTTGTTCGGGGGACGAGCCTTTGAATTCGACAACGTCCGTCCGCCTCATTTCCTCCATGGACGATGCAAGTATTCCGCGAGCTCTCTCAAGCAACCCCAGCGTTACCACGGGATCTTTCTGTAATCGTTGCGCTGATGTCGATGCGTCTGATGCCAATCCGATCAAGAAAGACAGTAGGTACTACTTGTCGGAGGGTTCCAGATATCTTAGAATCAGGGTGGGTAGACGATTTATCAAGGAACTGGCAGCTTCAAACGCGGGCTGCCACTCTTTTCGACTCATGTGAAGGCCGATTAATTTTCTCCAAGGGCCAGTGCTTTGAAGTGTGAGTTTATCAGCTTCGTCGGCGGCATTGTGTTGGACCAAAAGCTGAGTAGCCTCCTCAAAATTATCTCCATGCCCCAAGTCGATCTCCCTTTTTTCGAGGTACTGAGATAAACTGTACATGCTGCCTTTCCGGTCCCAGGAATTGACCGGTACTAGGTTTAGATGATCTCTTCTAAGCCTTATTGCTTCGTCAAGATCCCTCACATCCCCTGTTGTATGATATAGGTCAAAGATGGAAGATGAAAGCTCAGACAAGCAGAAAGCTCGTTCTTGTACCCTATCTGCCAGGGCCAGGGCGCCTCTTAATGAATCAATAATTTCGTCAAGATATTTCTTTCTTCCCCGTTCAGGAGGAAATGCGCGAAGAAAGCTGGCGCGGGATACAAAACTCATTATCTCGCGTGGGTGAGGACTCATCTCTACATCCCTTATTGATTTGGACAAGTCGACTGCCCTGTTCATGTTGGCGTTTTTGTCTTCTCTGAGAGCCATCTGCTGAAACTGCAGTGCTAGCACGCTTAATCGATGGGATCTTTCAGGGTGATCCAATGGTGTTATATCTACTCCACGTTGAGCAAGCTCCAGTGCATCTCTAAGGTCTGCCAAAGCCCGTGTTTCGTCATATCGATAATTGAGAAGCATCACAAGGTTGAAGATAACCCCAGCCAGATGATGGCTATCCTTCGATATACCATCAATCGCCCGCCTTGAAATGCGGATTCCGTGTTGGAGATACTCTGGGACCCGTCTATCCTTATAAAATAGAAGTAGGATCGAGATGAGTCTGCATATGGGTCCGTATTCAGTGAGAAAGCCGTCCGGTACTAACTGCTCTATAGTGAGGACCATTTCAATGCCATCTTTGAGCTCGGCTTCCGTTCCGATTTCGTCTGTCCATCTAGTAAGGTACATCCCATAAGTGAGGAGCCTTTGAACACGATCACGGTGGTCCAGAGGTGTGACCTCAATGGCCTGCCGAGCTAGTCTCCTGGCCTTTGCTAAGGGCTTCGCCTCTCCAGCTCTGCGGTACCATTCGTAGAAGTCTCCACCAAGATCCATAAGCATAGTAGATTGCTTTAAATGGTCTCTAGCTATTGGCTGAAGCACACTTCCGGCCATCTGGGCTGCCTTTGAATATAGTTTGGTAGCCTCTGAGAAATCTTGCATCGCAGGAAGCTGATTACCCCAGTCCCAAAGATGATGAGCAAGCTTGAAAAGTCTGAAAATGTATTCCAAGCTACCACTTGGTGCTGAGTCAAGAGCTTGTCGATCCAAGGCGATGACCTCTTCGAGAGAGGATCTTTCGCCGGTGTGAGTATAATATTCATAAAGGTAATCTTTCAACCCTCTCCGTAAACTTCTATCATTTTCCGGATCTAATTTTATCGCCTGCCGAGTGGCCTGTATTGCTTTTTTCAGATCGTCAAGGTTCTTCTGGTCCTGGAATCGGAAGTGATACGAGTAGGAGAGGAATTTGAAACTCAAAGGCTGGTATACGTGACGCACAGAAAATGGATGTAGCGGCTTGATGAGGTAAATTTGGGATTTTTCCACTGCTCTTCTTGCTAGTCGAATCGATTCCTCGAAATTCAAACACTTTGTGTTGTAGACAGAGGCGGAGGCATGCATAAGACTCAAATGTAGCAATGCGTCCAGTTCAGGCCCTCGCTCGGGATTCTGGCTGAGAATGAGGTTAAAAATTCTTTTGGATTCGTTAAAGTCGTCCTCCTGTCTAGTGATAGTGAATCGATTGCAAAAACAGTCTGCCAGTTGGCCCATGATAAGGTGGTCCTCTGGAAAAAGTTTATGTGCTTCCTTTGCTGCTTGTAGAGCCTTCTCGAGATCGCTTGTTCTCCCTGTTTGATTGTATTCCCCACTGAGACTCAATGCAGTGTTATACAAATGCTTTGCCGCTGGGCGATTGACGAAGTGGTTGGATTTCTTTTGAATCCAAAGCCTTGCCTTGTCCCAGGCGTTCTGATCTTCCATTTTCGCTGATTGCAATATCTCTACAATGGTAGGAGGTAGTACATGTAATGGCTTAAGCGTTCTAGAATTTTGCAATTGAGCTGAAATTTTCAAGATACAAAGAGAAGGAGAATAGAATAACAAATGTTAGATCTGCGGAATAATAAAAGAGGTTAATGTTTAGTTGTTATTAAGAGCAGGGGCAGTGCTTGCAAGTTCAGCAGCTATAAGCAAGTTCAATTAGGTAATCAATAATAACCAAGGATTTAAAACTTCCCACTGTCAACAGGCTTACTCGTGCCTTTTTCAGGGGAAGGAAACTTTCCGCCTTTAGGCAGTACTAAACAGGGAATCCGTAAAATCCAGCCACACAGCAAATTCAGCCGGCAAGGCCACGTAAGAATTTTGAGTATACTCCGTATTCTTCCTCGACTTGCTTGTTAGCTCGTATTACTCATTCCATGCGGCCAGAACCACAACCCAATCGCATCGACTGGTGCCGGATAATTCAGGCTGCATTTACGCGTATCGATGCAATTCCACATGACAAATCAGAATTTCCTCTCATGTTCATCAAAACAGTGAGGATAGCTCTTCATTATGACCAGGAGGAAGAAGCATAGTCGGGATACGTTTTCTTTCATTCATGTATCTCATCCTGATGGATTTAAGGACAAGGATACTCAAAACAAGATTCGCCGTCATGCTATGGGAGCGGCAGGCCAGTTGCGACTGAAGCCGCGCCGAAACCCGACCATATCGGTTGATATCCCTCCAAACACAACCGTCAACACCGGCCAAAGTCAACAATCGTTATTTCAAAGTCCACAGCAGCAAATAATGCCTCAGATTGCGTTTTTGGGTACATATCCCGTCGAAACGAGCACCAGGGCTCGCCAACTTATTCATTTTAGTATGCTCTTTTGCCCGCATGCCTCGGACGATGCTAATTATCAGTAGTGCAGGTTGCGGGCAACCTTCGTTTTATACCATTTCGATATGAATCGTACTCATTGGCTACTGCCGACCCTGCTGCGTTCTATCTCTACCTGGCGAATGCAGCCTTTCTACACAACCATCTTACACAGAAAGAGAGCAACCAAGAGTCGAGCAAGTATCTCGGGGTATGTTTGAGCCAGGTTATCGCAAGACTAGAAAAGGAGGCTCCTCGAGTTAGTCCTGGCTTGATGTACACTATGTTGGGGCTTGCCTGCCACGAGGTATGTGGCGTTTTCCGCTGTACCTTATGGACATGGGCTTCATGCTAAATATCTGAAGACGCATTTGGGTAACTGGGATCGTCGGGCCGTTCACCTAGATGGTCTCGAACGAGCCGTCAAGGCCCGCGGAGGGCTTGAAAGCCTTGACCAAATGATCTCACTGCTTATATTTTGGTATCAAACTTGAACTTGGCCCCTACCACTTTGAATTATCTAACTTATCTAAGGTTCGATGTTGTCGAATCATCCTCACGAGATTCGATCCCCAAATACGCCATTCCCCCACACCTAAGGGTAGAACTGTCACCTAAGGGGACGGTATCCTACCCACTAACTAACATTATTGAAAGGCTAACACGATCTGGAAACCACGAGATCGCTGGAGCACTCAAGAGTTTTGGAATTCTTGTGGACTTCGTAGGCCACAAAGCTCACGATGATGAATTCTGGGAAAGTTCATCGCAAGGGGCATCTTTGATAACTCCCATCTCGCATTCATTATTATCAATGCCAAGGGGAATAATTGGTAGAAATGATGACACCTCCGGTGACTACTCGATAGAAATGGCCCGGATTGCCCTGTTGATTATTCTGGCGCGGCTCAAACAAAGTTTCTCATTCCCGAGTGACGAGCTCATTTATCTTCAGGAGAGATTCAGAATGCTCCTCTATTGCCACTCTGGGTCCGAATTTCCGGATCTTGAGCTTTGGTGTGTGGTTTATGTTGCCTTGATAGACTCGGCGCACATGGGAGCATATGTCTCATACATCGACAATCTAGCCGAGAAACTTGGAATTGAGGGTCCTGAAGAAGTCTTTGAATTGGCAAGAAACATAATCTTTGCTGATAGAATTATTCCTTTGGATGTCGGGGCAATTGTTTCAAGTTTAAACACTGCGAAAAGAAACATTATGCCCGATCAAATTTAGGGCGGTTTATGCTGCAACCACACAAATTAAAACCCGGGCGGTACCCATGTATATCTTAGAAAAATATATTCTCAGTCTGTATAGACCAGAAGCCACTTTCTATTTCAGCCGCCTGTAACGCCCCCGCTAGCTGAGATGTATTGTCCTGTCAACCATCGACTTTTCTCTGAGGCCAGAAGTAACGCAACATCAGCAATATCCTCGACATTGCCAGCTCTAGCTTCCGCTCTTGTCAACTCGATGAAAGCTTGCACCGCTGGAGAATTGGGATCATCTGGGAAATTATCTGTCTTGACGGAGCCTGGCGCGATAGTATTGATAGTTAGCCCATGTTTACGTCCGAGCTGTTACTTCACACGTTAGTTACATCGTTCTGAATCCGACCAAGAATAGATAGGATAGAATTTGGAATCTCACCTCCCTAGACAGGGCGAATGTCAGCTGATCCATTGCGGCCTTGCTGGCAGCATATATGGGATCATTTACAAAGCCCGTCTTTGACGCAGTAGACCCAGTGTTGATAATACGGCCACCTCGAGGCATGAAGGGAACCGTTTCCTGAATCATGAAAAGTGGCCCGAAAACATTGACACGAAATATTCTTTCCATGACCTCCGGCGAAATGTCCAACGTTATACCATGGGCTCCGACGGCGGCGTTGTTCACTTATTCCAGGCTTGATCAGCGACCGCTACATTAAATACTATACATGATATCTCTTACCTAAAATATCTATTTTAGATGAATTAAAGGCGCTAGGTGTTCTGTTGACGATTTCCTTGGCGCCGTCGACGGTGGATATGTCGGCTTGAATAGTGACAACTCTGGCACCAAGGCTCTTGATCTTGGCCTCTACTTCGGCCGCCCGATGACTAGAGGCATCAGAGACATGGTTGATGGCAACGGAACAACCGTTGCGAGCAAGCGCTGTGGCTATGGCGGCACCAATGCCGTTCTCTTTCCCTGAGCCAGTTACGATCGCGATTTTCCCTTGGAGAGATAGTGTATCCGGAGCCATTGTAATGGCGAGTTAAGAAGAAAGGTAGGTGAAAATCCAGTATTACGTGAGCTTCTTGTTAAGAGAGTGCGAGATGATTATACCGAACGAAACGTCGGTTCTGTCTCCTTTATATTTTCTCCCGCTTGTAGTCTCACAGAAATCTTCAGTGTTGCCTCCTCCATTCCCCACCCTTGTATCCATATCCGATGAAGAAACAACACCTGCTGTAATCAGACTTACCATAGCACCCTCAGTAGGTACGTATTTGTAAGCCTCAGCGGCTCAGAGGTTGTCGCCGTCTTAGCCACCATCACGCTAAAAGCCAACCATTGCCGAAAATGGGAAGAAGAGATCCCTGTCCTACAGCTGAGCACTAGCATAGTCCCATGAAAAGATGCTCCACCTACGGAGTAACTTCTGGGCTCTAATTTGACATTACCTAAAATGGCAAGAAGAAGCCCCTGCAATGCAGTATCAGTTACATGCCGAAGTCATTTATGGTTCCGTCTACCCATACGCATGATGTTCTTATGGGCTAAGTTCTATTTCAGCAAAGTCTACCGAGACTGTAGCCTTCGACTGTAGCCTTCGAAGTGTCTTGATAAGCAGTCACGTCACATGCGAAGGGGCCTAATAAACTACATTTCTTAGGATTTGACTCATGCGATTGCCATTAGTTTCATGGTATATATAGTGGTGTATTTCCTAATCCTTGATGACATTTTCTCCCAAACCATCCTAATTTCTTTTCTCATTTGCCCCTTCTTACGAGCATATCACAATGGTACACACTGTTGCCCTCCTCGCACCCAACGGAAATGTCGGTTCGGCGGCTCTCAGACACCTACTCCCTGCTCACAAGGCGGGCAAGCTGAGTTTGGTTATTCTACATCGTCCAGGTAGCCCGCCAAAAGACCTTGACTTGGGTTCAGGCGTGGAAGTACGTGAGATTGATCTCGAGGGCCCCACCGAAAAGGTTCAAGAGGCCGTCCGTGGGGTGAATGCGGCAATGTAAGCTTCCCGCACTCTCTCTTATGTGTTGTCATTGGTATTTGTACCGTGATGCTGATAGAATGAAGCTCGGCTCTTCCCATGTCAGCCATCCACTTGCAGATAAACCTTGTGCGGGCCTTATCGAAGACCCCTGGATTCATCACCTTGATTCCTGCTAGGTTCAGCATTCCCTTAAGTGATGATGATTATCCTCACCTTCCTTTCATGGAACCTTTTATGGAGACTGAGAGCATTGCTGAGGAGCTCGGTGTGGGTATCACCCACGTATGGACTGGGTCTTTCATCATGTCTTTTAAGTTTGGGTGAGTATTCCTACTTCCGTGAATTTGATCGAGAAATGTTAGGTTTATGCTGTGCAGTCTACCTGAGTAATTAGTATGGCTGACGCTGATGGCAGATGGTTGGGAACCAATTTACAAGAGAATAAGATCGTGGCAAATACCAACCAGTTAAAGAATTGGACTCCGATCACGTAAGTAATTAGCGATCTAGTTCCCAAGTTCATTCGGCAATATCGGCTGAAAATTCGCTGACATACCCAACCTAACCCTCTAGAACCATGGAACACCTAGGTGCCGTGCTTGCAAGCCTGCTGGCTCGAGACCCAGCCGATATTGTGGGCAAGAGCTTCTCCGCTGTTACGTTCCGCCCTTCCGGCAAAGATCTGGTCGATGTCTTCACACAGATTAACAATGGAGAACCTACCACGGTAGTGGATCAGAAGCCCGAGGATCTAGAGCTACTGTTACAGGACATCAAAGGCCTCGGTGCTTTCATGGGCGTGTACATGCGGCATTGGGACCGAGGAGACCTCGAGTTTCCGGGAATCATCCCTGCCCCTGACGGAATATCGTTGCGCCACGAGTTCGAAAACCTGTAGACTTCAAAGAAAGTGCCTCTAAACGATACACAGGCTGTCTCTTTTTACTTCATAGCCTAGAGATGTAGACGATATTCTATTCACGAGTTTGATGAACGCACCGAGAACTATCTTAGGGGTTTGGTTGTCCCAATTAGTGACAAAACGTTAAGCAAGTCATGCATTATTGAAATGGTGCTCCTGAAGCTCACTTTAAGTAGTATAGAAGAAGTTTAGAAATAGACAATATCACAAACCAGATTTCATGCATAGAGTTCTTCTACTCGGTCGAACATCACAGCTCATAGCAAGGAAGCCGTTAGGAACTAATGGCAACCTGGCTATGAATAATGGCGTCTGAATAAGGAGTTCCAAAGTTCATTTGATATTATAGAACATTGATGCAATGGCCTAGGGAGGGAATGTTATAGAGAGCTAAATAATGCTGCAATCGTTTGTAACATCAATAATTGTCCACGGCTATCTAACCAATTCCTCTTTTGAAATCAATCTATATCCAGGCCCCATCAACCGAGTAACAGCTGCCGCTAACAAAACTGCTCTCTGATCCAAGTAAGAAGACAACTACTTTTGCTACCTCATCAGCAGTCCCCTGGCGTCTAAACGCAATGGGCTCGTCAAAGGGGGCATCTGCTGGCCTTTCTGTGCGGTCCCAGTACCCTTGCATCAAAGGAGTATAGATTGGTCCCGGAGCCACAGCATTGACGCGTACTTCTCGATGACCATTTTCTTTGGCAGCAACGCGAGTAAGGCCCAAGACCCCGTGCTTGCTTGCGGCGTAAGCAGCATGGTTTGCAATGCCTATTTATGGTTAGAAATTCTTTGAATAGGTCGTGCATTCAACACACCCTCGACTCTGTAGCGGTGCTGCTTCCTTGATTCGGGAAACAAGAAGGGAGCTTACCAGTTGTGGCGTGGATAGATGCCATATTAACAATTGATCCACCATCCTCAATATGGTTCAGTTCCGAACGAAGACAATACATCATACCAGTTAGGTTGACATTCAGGATTTTGAACCACTCATCGTCTTGGAGCTCCGTAAGAGGCTGGACTCCATGACCTTCTCCAATGATGCCGGCAATATTTGCTGCCCCATCTAGCCGACCGAACTGGTTTTTGATGCCGGCAATCCAGCTTTCTACTTGATCCTTCTTAGACACATCGACTTGATTAATTGAGAACAGCGGCTTGGGCGATTTCGAATTTAAGTAGGCCTCGACTTCTTTCAGTGCAGCAGTGTTAACGTCAGCGATGCAGACCGTTCCCGCGCGCTCCGAGATGAGCTTGGCTGTGGCAAGGCCGATGCCACTTGCACCGCCAGTCACGGCATACACCTTTCCGCTAAGAGACATGGTTGAATGAGCGGGATGATTAGTGGTTGAGAGTGCAATGCGTTTGAACACGATTCGAGGCCGGATCTACAGGCTCAAGGTGATACGGTTCTCTTGTATTATTACCCCGCTTCTTGCCAGAATCTCAAATCGGAGAGGATAGTCTAAAACGAAGCGAAGAGTTACATCTCCGGCGGATCACCTTTAGCAGTGCGGAGTCTTCAGGTCTTGCCGACTGCCTGCTCTACAAGTAATAAAAATCTCTAGTCCCGTCAAACGAGCCGGTTCAACTCTCAAAAGGAGACAGTTATATTCCCCCGAAAGTTAAAGACCAAGATGTTTCACTGCATCGAGAATTAACACGAAATAAAAATAATCTATTCTTTCAACCCGATATCTCGGAGAAAAGTACCCAACAAAGGCATAGGCGCCGGCCAACTGGAGTCTCCACTGTGCAGGTGACATTCAAACATGATGTGTGGCATCAAGGCACCGCCATTCAGTTTCGATGTACCGCATTTCAAAAACAATACGCTTATCGTAAAGCTAATATACGATGACTTGTACATATTATTTTCTTGCCTTCAGAAGTTGGTTATCGCTCTTGAGTGTCAAAGTATCAGAGGGAAACCAGGAACCGACCGGAGTCTTGATCAATCGCTTATATGAATCGCCATGGATAATAGAGATGGTCCAGCCTTTTCCCTCTCAAGCAGCGGGTAATAGACATGAGCATCAGACTACTTTTTGTGAACCAGCTTTCCTGTATACCAACCCTGAGTCCACCGACTGTCTGTGGTAGGTTCCAGAGCAATAGAAATCATACTACCACGGCTCCTTAAGTGCGGTATGGCTTGCCCCGGTGAGGTATGTAGTTTCAATCGTGAGACCAATGGGATGCGTATGCTCCTCGGCGGCTGGTCTGGTGCTTTCTAGAGATGGCCGAGAGATCATAGACGGCTAATGGACGAGAATCTCTCTCACCTTGCAAATTACACACATACGGCGCGGGGTTATCATTGGTACAATCTCGCGCATTGGCCAGGGGTCTACAAAGTCAGTCGCTGTCAGTCGAGCAATTATGCTACCAAAAGGGAAAAAATTGTCATTCTCAGAGGAGCTTGGAAACCACTGGTAAGAATAGTACCGAGGAGAGTCTCCACCAGCAAAATCCTTTAATTAAAAGCGGGGAGAACTGAAGACATAACCAAAAACCAAAAAGAAACCATCCAATGCTCCCAGTGAGGCTCGAACTCACGACCTTCGGATAACCCACTCTTTGGAGAGGATCACACAGACAACTGTATGAGACCGACGCTGTAACCAACTCAGCCATGGAAGCTTGTTGTTGGCTGCTGTCGAGACAATATTTGGGTTATGGCAGTTTGAGCAGCTCCAGCTCCCACCCTAGACACCAACCACAATCGTGACAAGTTCAGTTCTACGGGTGGTAATCGAACGCACGTATATTCATTTCGAATAAAGTATTTATAAATTATGGATTTACCTTGCTCAGCTTGAAACAATTAAGCAAAACATGAGCAATATCGTTTTATTTGCCCTAGTACACATGCACTCAATAAGAACCCGCCTCAAGAACTGCAAGAGTTTTGCGATGCAAAAGTGAGAGAAATTGGGTTGCTGAGCTTGATTGTAATCTTGCACCAAATTTCGGAGTCGTGGGGTCTAGAAACGGAAATACAGGACAACACATGGCCCTAGCCTTGCCCCCTCTGCTAGCAACTTTTCCCGAGCTTATTGGCCCGATTTGTAAGTTGGGATAATTGATTTGATTGAAAGTCTCCGTTACACTGAATATTTCTACGGAGCTAATCTTATTACATCCGTAAGGATTGGAGAGATCGGTTTCTGCCAAGATCCCGAGCTCAGAAAACACCCATTCGGTCTACTTGTTGTCCCGAGAATAGAGGCTGGGCTGGGTTGTCGAATTAGCATTGTTTGTAAGCCTTTTGTACACTCAAGATACTTGGTTCTCGCTCGAGCTTGGTCATGATTTCATAATGCCATGTGGGATGATTCTGGAGACTGGAAGATGCCTTTCGGCGTCGGCATTTAAAACCTCTTTGATCTCCTGGTGATCATAGGTTGATTTCATCATGTTTAGAAATTCCAAGTCCTTATCAACCATCTACCTTATCCCAAATCTTGAAGAGCAACCGGTTTTCTTTGAGACAAAATCGAAATGGTCTCTCTACGATCTCTGTTTTACTATGCTGCCCTGGCGGCTCCTATTTCAGGAAGTCCTGTTCTTGAGAGCGGACGTCGCTCTGTTTCTACCAAGGTCATTGCAGAGATGCCGGTAGGGTCATTTCTGGAAAGCACCATCATTCGCCCAAACGGCGACATTCTCGCCACTTCTGCCATGGGTAGCCCTAAGGTTTACACCGTGAAGGGACCCTCCTCGCGCAACCCATCTGTTGAGGAGGTAGCAAGCGCATATGGGGTCCAATCGCTCTGGGGAATCACTGAAATCCCTCCAATTAATGGAGTAGAGACTTACGTTTTCGTCGGTGGCAACCTTACGTCTCTTACACCCTTGACACCGGCTGTTGGCTCATGGCAGGCTTTCCGACTCTCCATTCCAAAGCGTGGAGTAGCGAAAGTCGAGCAAATCGGGGATCTAGGACGAGAAACCGTCCTGTTGAATGGCCTCGCGCCAATTCCCGGAAGCCCCGGATCTGTCCTAATCGCAGATTCTGGAAGAGGAACCATGGGCCGTCTGAACGTTATTGAGAAGAAATGGGAGATTGATGCCTTCGCGGAGCCCGAGATGGGCGTGCTCCCAAATTCTCCGCTTGGAATGGGGGTTGTTGCCGCCAAGTTTCGCGATGGTCATCTCTATTTTGCTGCTGCGCCCACTTTCATTTATCGTTTACGTGTTGATTGGAAAGGCTCCAAGATACCTGGCGCCAAGGTAGAGCTCGTTGCCGACGTTTCTGAAAAGTTCTCTGGAATCGACGACTTCATTTTTGATCGAGCTGGAAACATCTACTTTGCGTCCAACGCCCCTTCGAATGCCCTTGGTTACATAAACACCAGGACCGGAGAGAACAGGATTGTTTCAGGGGGTGCCAACGAAACCATCTTGGCTGATTGCGCCTCACTTGCTTTTGGCCGATCCCAGAACGACAAAAATGTGTTGTATATCGCTCGTGGTAGAGGGTTTACTGACGAGGGAGGCTTTGGAAAGGTTGTTGCGGTTTCTGATTTGGATAAGTAGGAAAATCATTCTCAATTACTCAAAGGCTTGACTAACATTCTTCAGATGCTGATTCCCTTACTATGTGATGAAGAAGAGTTGCGACACATTGTGGTGGAAGGCCACAACGCCCCTCAAGAAGACCATCAGAGAAGATCAGTCTGAAAAGTAGAACACACATTATTCGAGACACGTTAACAATATGAAATTTCAGCATTGCCTATCACCTTGATTCTCAACCTTGATGTAGAATAGAAACGGTGGTATTCGTTCCATTGAGGTCATCCCTAAACCAACGGTTTGCATGGTGATCAACTCCTTTGTTGCTGGAAGATGATAAGGCATGATCCATTCAATCATATCGTTAAAATTAGTATAGATTGTGTATCTAAATCTCTCAAATGTCTCTAGTATCGATAACATCAGGTCATTGAGAAGTGCCGCATTGTTATGATTCGAATTGAATATCGGCGAGCTAAACTTCATGATAATGGCTGAATCTGTCACCCGCTTTTTATATATTTCGTCGTCAAAGGCTTCTAAAAGTGCTGGTAAAAGATCGGGATGCGGAAGCGGCGCAGTTCTCAGGTAATTATAACCCTCCACACGACGAATTCGGAAGACATTTGGCCTGCGACATTGGGCTGAGAGCCAAAGTCAGGACAGTCGTCTCTTCCTGTCCCACGTTTTGGTACTCGTGGATGTTCGTTGTGAATTGCTCGCCGGCATGGCATCCGAGTACTCCTAGTCTCTTGACCAGCATTGCAGATTTGCGGTGGACAGACAGACAAGTAACGAGTATTGGAGCCTAGCCCTTCCCCGAATCGAATTTGACGCCGGGCTTCTTGGCCTCCATCTCGCGGACAAGAGTGCCAATCACCTTCAGGGCCCTTTTGTCCGTGGGCTGTGCCGAAATGGTATTGTGGATGGCATTTGCGATCGAACTATTGCTCGCGCCATGTCGCACCATGATCTCAAAGGCCTCAACAGCTCCGTTTGTGGCGGCGACAAGGAGAGAATTGCCATTCTGGTAGTTCAAATTTGCGAGCGAATCAAGGAGAACGTGCAGGGCCGCAATGGACCCGTCTCCTTTGCACACAATGCCAACCGCCTGAGTGCATCCATCTCTAACCTCCTATCATTATCCTTGCTCGGCCATGACCAGGAGGAATGATCTGACTCATACATGGACAATTATGTCGGAGAGGAATCTAAATATCCCGCAAAATACTCGAAAGGCGTCCAGCTGCCTGACGATCAATCTCGTTCTTGGCCGGTACCAGGTGGTCATCACAATGCCACCTTGACAAGGGATCGAGCCTTATTTCTATGCGAGTTACCATGTCAGCAATAAGCATCCTTGCCACGGTGGTTACAGCCTAGGATTTATTCCCTCCATCTTGCATACGCCACGTATACTGCTTGCATTAGCCGTCATTTCATAAGCTAGTAGGTAAACGGCGAGCCCGCAAGTCTCAGGTATCAGGCAAGGCGACTTGGAGCCGAGATTAATGGCTGGCGGACGTATTTTGCCTTTCCCCCTATGATCTGCTGGTCATCTTCTCTATACGGAGTAGCTCTAGCCATCTAGTCCAAGTGAAACCTCCCTGTAAGAGTGTCTGCGCTTCAGCAATCCTCTTGACCATCTTTTTCGTTGAACACTTACAGCATTTGCCAACTTACAGCTCCATCCTTCTGTTCTCTACTCTGCCCACAAACCCTTACCTGGAGCACTGACAATTATGGGTAGGTCCTCTACCTCAGCAACGAACCAACCGCATGCGGCTACTGTGTCTCCTGGATCTGCCGAGTTCGTTGCCCTTCAACTTGGTCCTCGTGCCCTCGGTTGCAATCACCTTCCGAAATATCAGCCATCTCTTGAAGGCAACAACCAGAAGTATCCAGCTCTCCTCGGATTTTTTCATCAATCTCAATCTCGTCATTCGCAGGTCTGTGTCAGCATTTTGGAGACATGCAAGCTTTGCGTGAATTGCTTGTCCCAAGCTACGCCCGACGGCTACGTCTTTTGGTCCAGCATTGCCAAGGCCTGCTCGCATGATGCTTCATCGCGCAAGAAGGATGAATGGCTTGCTGGCCCTGCTTCTTCAGTCAACTACCCTCCATTCTTCCAAGCTGGCATGGAGGGCTTCTCTGGTCTGTCTTCTGGAGCAATCTCTTCTACCCCGAGAGCTCAGCCATCGATTGTTGCTATTCCTAAACTCCCAGGCGCCGAACAGGCTTGGGGATGGATTGACGCGCAGCGAAAGCCGTTTTACATTGACCAGCTCCATCTAGCGGCTGCTGAACGGGACGTAACCATCGTCCAGAAGTTCGGAGTCCCTTTTACAGGCGAAGGGAAGTCGAAAGCGCCCAAGCCGAAGAGTTCCCATGGCTCAGACGCCACTGCCCCATTGCCTACTGGACCTTCTCACCTGTTTGCACGGCCTCCAGGTCCAGCGATGCCGCCTCATGGACGCAGTGCCAGCACCCCGGGTCACCTTCAGCAAGAGGTGAAGCCCTCTCACTATCCTAAGCCCACTACAGATCCATCTACTCACTCTTCCACTACGCAATCAGTGTCTTCGAGTGGGTTTCTCGATGGACTGCTTATTTATCTACCTCAGCCAGGCTCTTCGTTTCTCCCGCAATCTCAGCCTACCAACCCGACGGCCACGCCTTCAGGACCACCTGTTGGTTCAAAATACCCTAGCTCTCTTCCTCCTGGTCTTCCAAAAACGAAAGAGGTTAAACGTAAGCCCGTGAAAGCTTGTTTACCAGACGCAAGGTATGACTGAATGCGAAATATGAGGAGCATCAATGGTAACATTGTCCACTGACATTTCATACTCGGCAGTGACAAAACCTCCGCCTCGTCCGTGGTGCCCGGCTCGTTGGAGGCACAAAAGAGCGCGCCGATCACGTCTCAGCCCGTAACGTCGATCGAGAAGGCGATCGCGCCGGCGAAGAACCCCAAGAACGTCCCAGCCCGAGACCGGAGCAACACTCCATCGTTGTTTTTCCCTGGTCAAGAACCATCGTCCCAAAGACAACTTGCCTCCAAGGATATGGCAGCTGGTACCTCGTCGCGAACAGTCGTGAGCACGACGTCCGCCGGGTCGGCTTCCATGTCAAGAGCGCTCACGCCAACACACAGCACTTCTATCACCCATCCGTGCACATCTGATGTCAAAGCAGATCATGGTGTGTTGCCTGCCAACCCTGGTCATTTCAGGACTCTCGCCGTCGGATCAAGCAATACTCTGTCTACAGTAGAGAGTCACGGGTCTGCTGCGGCGAAGGCCAAACCACCAACGCAATTCACTACCAGTCAGTCTCATCAAGATCTAGTCTTTCTCAATAAAGCGACTGCCCCCCAACTGCCCAAGAAAGATTTGCCCACTGCTGGAGCAACCACGAGCAATTGGTCCCTCCACGACCCTCTCTTCTTTAACGAGCCTGTGTCCGCTCCAGCCTACGCTCCCTATACGAGGAGAGCCGCGAATTTACCAGAGAACGAGTCTGGGCGACTAGATTTGAAGTTGAGTCGTGGCCAAGACTCTCATGTGGTGGGACAGGTGCCTATAGATCGTAGTTTCGAGTCACACAAAATCAACAGCGCTGCCGGCACCGCACCAGTAAGGCAGCCGCGCTTCGTGCCGGAGGAGACCGTTAAACGAGGGGATTTAGAAGTGGGCAAGATGCACCAGGTCAAGCCTGTTTACTCAGGTTTCGAGGCTACGAAACAACAAGCTTCCCAACAGACTTTCCATCAGACGGTCAATCAGACTGTTCAACAGAGTTCCCAGCAAATTTTCAACGGGGCGATGCAAGCCGGAAGTCGAACACAGGCAAAGCCGAATTCGGCGGTCGAAGCGGCAAAGAACCAGCCTCTTGTCCAACAGCAACAAGCTCCCACAATGGGCGGAAGCCAATGGATGATAGCTGCTGGTTTCTTAGGTTTAGGGTCAAAGACCCAAAAAGTTGGTCAAAAGAGTTCTCAGCCGGATTTTCAGCAGATCCACAGTGATGACAAGAGGGCTTTAGATGTTGGTATTCAACGCCAAATGAATACTAGTTCTTCAGGTCCAGGAGCAAAGAGCAAACAATCCGTTCAGCACACAATGCAATCCCTTTCTCAGGAGAATTACAACCAAAGTGCCCATCAGAACAACCCCCAAAACTTCCAACAGCAGAACTTCCAACAACAGAACTACTATCAACCCTTTACACAGACTATTCAACAGGATCTCCCACAGCCTTCTAAGCAGGCTTCAAGGGGGCCCCCGAGCGCCGAAGGTACACACCGGATAACGCCCAGATCTTCTAGTCCGAAAGCAGGGGGTAAACAAAGTTCTCAAGGGGCTCCCCAACACGCTAGCCAGCGGGATATACAGCAGTTTCCCCCACAGAGTACCGGGCAGAAAATCAAGCAGGCTCCCCAAAAGCCTGTCTCGCAGCCTTCTTCGAAGCATTCCCAGCGGAGTCACGGGCCAATTTCCAAACACCCTCCTCAACAACCTTCCCGCCAAGAGCACTCCCAGAATACCAGGCAAATTTCCCATGGAATAAAACCGATGGCGAGATAGGTCATAGAAGGTCAAGCTTCGGTAGACAACGTTGACCAGCAGGAAGAGGACTTGGTGAGAAGATGAAAGAGGGTGGTCAGAATATGCTGGAAACAAAGGGACATGATTGCCTCCAAGCCCTTCAAACTCTTTCTAGCCGATTCTGCATATTTATGCCTGCCGAGCTGAGATTTGTATTCTACCCTTTAGGGAGATCTCAAGTGTTAACTGTGAGAGACCCAGCATACTAGGTAACGCCATGTCATGTCAAATTCAAACTTGCAAATGCCATCCTTCTGAGGTACCTCAGAGGTCGCGCAGGTCAAGTACTAACTTAAGTTACGTACAGTTCATTGATGCTGGGAAAGAAACTCATTTAATGTTCTATGAGGACACAGCAACTTTCTGTTGTGTAAGGTGATAGATATAGTAAGCTTGATTGATTGTTATCACTCATCAGACTTAAGTTTGTTGGTGTTCTCCCTCGCTCAAACAACCCAATTTCAAGCAAAATTCCCATCAATAGCTAGGTTGTTGGACACAATAAGCAAGATACAGTGATAAATGTACCTTCGGTAGATAACTCTTATGAATGGTAGATCGTTCCTCAAATCTTGGCGGAGATCTGCGCTTTTCGATCTTGCTCTTTGAGAAGTCTTCTCAAGATCTTTCCACTTGAACTCTTCGGTATGCTGTCAATAAATTGAATACCCCCTTTGAGCCATTTGTGGCGAGCCTTGTGACCCTCCATGTGCGAGTTGATTGCCTTAATTACATCTCCATCAGGCAAGCATTGCTTTCTCGCCTCGGCAGATTTTACAACGTAGGCTTTCGGAAGCTGCCCTGCCCGTTCATCCTCTATGCCAATCACGGCACAATCTGACACTAAATGGTGATCTAATAAATGGGCTTCGAGCTCGGCCGGTGCCACCTGATGACCCTATGATCTAGTCAGTAAGTGAATCCTTGTACCATACGGTACTTCGTGAGGTTGCCTACCTTAACTTTTATCAGTTCTTTGATTCTGTCGACAATGAAAACATGCTCGTGGCCTTGTGGCGAATTTCGTACAAGGACTTCGTCGCCAGTTCTCAGCCATCGTCCATCATGGTGCCAAACATACGTTTGGGCATTCTCCTTTTCGTTATTCAGATAGCCGAGAGTTACAGCGTCAGATTGAACCAGAAGTTCTCCACGCATCTCGTGCTTGGTCACCTCGTTGCCCTCGGTATCGAGAATCTTGACCTTGGTGCCTGGAATGATCGATCCCGCCGAGCCCGCGAAGATGTCATGCTCACTTGTCGATGTGATACTCGGCGATGCTTCAGTTAACCCTAGAATGAAAGAGAGAAAATAAGTTAGATTTGACCTTGAAGATATTTTCGTTTGCATTTCCGCATTTACCGTAGCCTTGGCCTAGTTTCCAACTTGGATATAACTCTGATACTTTTGCCATTGTCTCACTGCCTAGGGGCGCTGCGCCGCTGAACACGAGGCGCACGCTGCTGAGATCGTACTTCTTGCACTCGTCTGGGTTGCTGATCATCGAAATGAGAATGGGTGGCACTATATGCAGTTGTTGGATCTTAAATTTCTGAACCGAACTCAGAAATGACTGGAACTCGTACTTGGGAAGGACGATGAGTTCGTCTCCACGGTACATTGCAACATGGCAAATCACAGTCAGGCCGTAAATGTGACTGAATGGCAGCACTCCTACCGAGACCTGTGTGCGCACTCCGCTCTGGAGACGCCCGGAGGAATCGAAAAGCGTAGTCTGGATTGTACTAGCAATGATGTTACGATGGGATACCATCACCGCTTTCTAGAACTTGTAAGCACAAAAAGGTTTCGAACAACTTGGTATAGGTCTGCTCACCGGATGTCCTGAAGTGCCGCTCGAGTAGCAGAGATAGGCTACTTGTCTCGCGCCTTGTCCCTCAATCCAAGCAGGGAGCAGTAGTGGTGGAAGATTTCGCCCCTCCAAGATTAACTCCTCTATGGATTTAAAGGGAACTCGCTCAGCCACACCTGGGATCGGTAGAATGAAGATATGTTCCTGTGGGATGCCAACGGCCTCACATGCCTTGATTGCATTCTTCAAGAACGGGATGCAAGTGAATAGCGCTTTAGCACCAGATGATCGAAGCTGGTGTTCTAACTCTTTGGCCGAGTGCGTCAGACTTGCAGGAGTGACTATCCCAGAGAGACGGTGGACTGCATGTGTTGCTGGGATGTAGTCAATCTAGAGTCTAGTTAAAGTTCTGATACAATCACGAACAACGGCTGCCTTACTGTATTGAGAGCGTATATTGCCACAACGCGATCCCATTCCGTTCCACCCTCGATATCAAATTTAAGAATTGCATGCAAAGACTTGGCAAGAGAATCAACTCTCTCATTCACCTCCTCTACTGTATACGACCGACCAGTCATGCCGCACGTAAAGGGCCGCCGAGATGCCTTGGTTGGGTGTCTGCCATATTTGTCGTTGCTGATGAATTCTGCAACCGTGATCGAATCCGGGATCTCTACACAATCCGTAAAGAATTAGAAGACGTACGTTCATTGTTTGCATCGATGAAAACTTACCTGGAAGGGGAGGAACCCACGATGGGGGATAAAACACCATTTTCCCCTGCAACTTGTGGATGCAACGGCTTTAAAAGGGATAAAAAAAAGGCAGGTTTATGCAGCGAAACTCTTGATAGACTGTTAATTTATCTCTTTCTTTCAATGACTTTAAAAATTATTTGAAGCGCGTTTAATATACTCCTGCATACAGGCCATCCCATTCCCGAAGTGTCACTCCCGACACAAGCCTCGGCGTTTTCATTTTCACCCGATTCGGTTATCCCATTTTGCTTACAGCCGACCAACGGAGCTCGCTCGAGTCAGGGGCGGCTAGTGACGTCGTATTCCGGCTGAGCCACACAAATCTAACTCCAGGAAATCTTGTGGTTGTGCGGGGAAAATCCACACTCTCCCCATCCCACTTTCTTTCAAATCATATCCCACTCCTTTAAATCAGATTGATCTAGATTCAGGACCTATAATCGCTACATCTCATGACATAGACCCCACGCCATCCTTCCTTCACACATCCTAAAATGTCGCTCCCACAGCAGAAGAGCATCGCCGTTGTCCATACCCATGTCTGGAATATGGACGGCCTCATGACGGCCCCCGGCCCAAGCGTCAAGAGGCGGAGCAGCCGGAGAAAGAGGTGTGCAGATTGCAGGGCAGGAGAATCTGTCCTCAGCGGGTCTTGCGTTCTTCATACCTCACTTCACGTTGCCCACAGAAAGAGGGCGCCTGAGGTGGACTGGAGGCATCTACACATTCTCGGCCAGGAAGATTTCAAGACTTCCCCATCAATCAGCTCTGAGGGGTCTAGCCCTTCGGAGGCTTCGTTAGCGTGCGAAGAGATGAAATTAACGACGAGATTTCTATTTTCCAATATCCGAACGACAGAGAGCGAGCTGGAATCCATGCTAGATGCTTTCTCTGGCAGCCTCGACAAAGCGGAAAGGCCGGAACCAGCCTCATTAAATGGCGGTTATTCAGTTACAGAGCGAAGGGATGAAGAATCAAAAGAAGAGTACACGGAGGAGGCCTATCGAGGGTTTGAGACCTGGGTGATGGGCTCATACGAGCAGATGTTTTGCTTCGCCCGGGGCGATTGCTCTGGGTCGCAAATATATGATTAAGGGTGATATTTGCGCGAGCTTATTCACAGCTTATCTTAATGATCTTTTTTCTCCCTCCCGACAAGTGCGAGCTACTGAAATTCGGGACATTGGGACTAATTTATTGATTTCTTATCTACGCCTCCCTTTTGGTTACATGTCTTTGAAGACCCCTAAAGTTTTGCCGTTTGTTTGTGTTCAAAGATGCTCTAATATGTGCAATTGGGGTTGACCAGGGTGGATGTGAACGGCGGAGCAATATTCTCCAACGCACTGGCAAATTTGACCAAGTGCCGAGATATTGCACGAAGCGAAGAGAAGTTAGGTCGTATTCGGATCAATACCCGGTTTGGCCCTGTCCTGTAAGCTGATTCTCATTCAGGTGTGCTTACTCTCATCTCCAGCATCCCCACCAACTAACGTTAGTGTTGATGGACGCATTCAGCCTCCATTGCGAAACTTCAGGACAAACCCATATCACCATCAGCAGCATCCGTGTTGTCGCTGATTTTCGCCATCCCGTTCACTAGTCATCTTAACCAAAGGTTTGACATGCGATCTTATACATCTCCTCGTGATAACTATCAGCCCAGCCTTGGTTCATGCCGAGTTGGCCTGTGGAAATTGACAAATTTTCCATCATTATACCGATGATTAGTGTACAAGACCACAGAACCAAGTACACCGCCCCCAGGGAGGATAAGCAGCTGCATTCCGCATGGTCAGCGAGGACGGTGGTTTCCTTGGCAAACGACCCTGCGAGTTATTCATTGTGTTGGGATGTCGGGTCTGACATCTTCTATTGCCATTTTATACTCTGTACTCGAACTCTCATCGGGACCCTGCGAGTATGTTGCTACGAAACTCTTTGGACACCCGTTGGGCCGTGCTGTAGGGCAGAGGAATAGGGAATTGCCAAGAGACTCAACATGAACCAAATATGGGGCTTAAGGACGAAGAGTATCGTACTATACCAAAATGATTGACATTGGCTCCAATTTGATGGCACTTGGATAGCAGACCGCCCTTATTCTTGCCGAGAACCTTTAAATTCATAGATGATATAAAAATTGTTCCTAGTCCAATGACGATCACAAATCACCTAGGAAGGAGCATAAGATTCGATCATACTTCGTATTTATTATAAGCTGTTTCCGATGGGTCTCAAAAAAATAACCCAGTGGCTATCTACAATTGATCAATATGGAAGTCACATATATCTTTCAAAGCTTTGTCCCCGGCGGATTCTCTTGGCTAGAAACTCCTCGCTAAATTGATTTCGCCTTATGTTTTTTGAGAGTAATATATCTAGCTCATGATGAGCATTCGAGAGACAGATGTTAAATCTATTGATAGTTTCTTGAGCGAGCATCTACTCGTATCTACTACCACAATAACCAAGACGGAATATTTCTGAATGCATGATGTAAGCGGGGTTCAAAATGAGGTCGCATATTGGACCATTAATTGTCCCAAGCCAATATCAAATGCCGAGAGGGTCGAAGAGAGATGGCGCCGGTTGGTCGAGAGCAATCTCTCCACCCAGAACAGGGAACCAAATGCTTGAGGGCCACTCTTCGTCTGTACCGCTATTAAAATCACACCTCAAACACCCTGGCACTCTTTGTACCTACCATCTGTGTATACGAGTTTCTCGAGAACGTGTTGGCCACTATCACCGCGTCCATGCACCCCATTGAAACGGCTGTCAAAGGTGGCATATACCGCGGAGGCTTGCTATTCGCCCTCGCCTCAATGGCAATGGGTAGCCTCAAATCATGACTTCGATGTTGACAGACGCTGCCCATCGATTCACACTAAAAGTGACTCTCGCGAGCGGTACCTCCCATGTGTACGAATCACCGGCAGTCAACAGGGCACTCGGCTGGGCGTTGCTGGGGTCCGATTGGCTTAATTACGAGAAAGGATGCATTCAGCGAGCTTGTGCAAGTTTGGCAGAAATTAATTTCATTATTAGCCCCGTCCCTCGCTTGGCAATTCGCTGACGGGGCCACAATTATAATGGGTATCTCACCATTGCCGCACCTGAAACCATGCAATGCATCCCAAGATAGTTAAAAGTAGATCGTTCCTGCATGCTAGCTCGCTGTAGTTCACGTGGGCGATGGCAAGTCTCGTGAAAGGAACGTGGGCGGACTGGTATCCCGGCTGATAACCTTGCCGCCTTATTCCGCCCTATTATAAGGCCCTCAATGCTCGTATATAAAGACTTGCTCTCTTCACGCAACCAGTCCTACACAAGAGCTCTGGACAACTCCATTTCGGTACACCGCATATTGGCCACAATGCTCCTCAAATCTATTGCGGTCGCTCTGGCGGCATTTACAGGCCTGGCATCTGCCATGCCTGCCGATGTCACCGCTCAAACTGCCTCAACTCTCCAGACTAGAGCCAACGTCCCTCGCTCGGTTTTCGCCCACTACATGCTTGGCCTCACCAGCGGCCAGAGCTACGAAGAATGGCAAACCGAGATCAGCGACGCCAAGGGGTCGGGAATCGATGGTTTCGCCTTGAACGCCGGTCCGGACGATGCTTGGAATGCTGATCAGCTCGCAAATGCCTTCAACGCTGCCGACGCTGCGGGTTTTAAACTCTTCATCTCTTTCGATATGGGGGACCAGTACAACTGGTCGGTTGATCAGGTGGTTAGTTGGGTTAACTCCTGGAAGGGACGCTCAAGTTACTTCAACGTCGATGGGCTTCCATTTGTATCTACCTTTGGAGGCCCCGGCTGGGCAGATAACTGGGCTGCGGTTCGCTCTGGTACTGGTGGTATCTTCCTTGTCCCCGAATGGGCTGCGCTGGGCCCCGCCGGCGTTGCCACCCACTTGGACAAGATTGATGGAGCTTGTAAGTGTCTTATGGTTCAATTTTAGCTTCCCATCTTCCCCTGACCTTGCCTTTCTCTCGTTCTCACTTTGAGTCCCGAAACGAGAGGCGGCATTGATAGAACTTTTGAGGCTAATTCTGTTTCCCTTGCTCAGTTAGCTGGAATGCGTGGCCCAAGGCCAATGGCCAGATCATGTTCCCCGAGGAAGACATGGCTTACCAACAAGTCCTGGGCGAAAAGGCGTACATGATGGGTGTCAGTCCCTACTTTTACGTCGGTAAGTACACACATCTCCCCGATGTCCTACTTCTCAGCGAGGAATTTTGTCAAAAAGAACCACTTCTAACTAAATTTTCACAGACCTGCCTAACTGGGGTAAAAACTGGTACTCATCTAGCGATTCTCTCTGGTTTGACCGTCTCAAGATGACCCAGGAGGTTATGCCAAGTCTCATCCAGATCATCACCTGGAACGACTACAGCGAATCTAGTTACATCAAGGCCCCCGTCGCCCACCAAATTGTCTCTGGCGCCGAGGTATACGTCAACGGTTACGACCATACAGCTCTGCGCTTTGTTCTGCCCTACTTTATCAGCTCTTACAAGGCTGGAACTACTGATGGCATCAACATTGATTCCGAGGGCGCGGTTGTCTGGTACCGCACAACTCCCAAGAACGTCTGCGGTGATGGCGGTAAGTTACTAAAGTCTTGTCTTATCCACCCATATTATGTTGGGGACGGTTGAAGAAGACACTGGCTAATGTTGAAATCAGGTACCGTATGGGGTCAAGGCGGCTCTCAGTCCGTAACTCTGGGCACCGAAGATGTTGTGTCTGTCATCGCCTTGCTCGACACCGCTGGGACCGTCGACATCTCTGTTGGCGGTGTTACAACCACCGCTTCTCCCATCAACCAGATTGGCAAGGCTTATCACTACAAGGTTCCTCTCGATGGTCGCACTGGTGAGGTCACAGTCTCCTTCAACGGCCGTTCAGCCACTGGCCCATCCATCACGACTGCCTGCCCTGCGACTGGAAACGTCAACTTCAACGCCGTTTCTTTCCAGGTATAACACAAGGCATGTGTTCAACAGCCAGTAGTAGATAATCCCTAGCTAGTGAATGAAAATGCATTAGCGCCATTGAGTATTCTCACCAGTGACTAACTGTACATGCCAAGCCATATATGAAGCCCTAGCCGAGAAATAAATACCCCTAAATTCTCGCGATCAAGTTTCCTGAACTACTTTCCTCAAACTTGGGAAGTCTGCAGTTATTATTGCTACACGCCCTTTAACTACTACCGAACAGAGGACATACAGTAAGCAACGCGCAAAATGAGTGGTAGTTTCCCATCTTATTTCTTTCCTCGTCCCATTTTGGGAATTATTCGTTATGAAGTACACATTCCTCATCTATAGATATCTAGGCCTAAAAGCTGGGGTGCGTAATCATCTCCAATATTATTTCAGCTTTCAGTTTTTGGACCTAGAATTCATTACAATCGTTTTAATTCGACTACCTAGCATGCTGCCAGTAAGTGCGACTAACGAGTCTGAAAAAATTGGTCGTCTATAAACACTGGCCTAGCTCAAACCTAGCCTAGAGAAGATGAGCAAAAAAGATTATTGTATTATATATGCAACCACCCTGAATAGGTTACAATAATCTAGAATCACAATATAAGTCTGGGGCTTGTGATTTTGAATTTCAGTGGATGAGCTTAGACATTGCCAATCAACACCCGTGTCACGTGTAGGCTGTTCTTCTCACGCATTGAACTTCCGATAATGAGCATTACATTCCCCTCGGAATTGATTCCTGTTCTTGTACGTGTGTTCCTGATTAGACTGCACGCTGACATCATTTTGGAAACATACTGGTAGATACTTGCTGTAGGTCTTCCGTGAAAATTGGTGAAGATAAGGTGTCTATGGATCCATCGCTCGGGGGATACAGCCAGGTAGTTTAACATTATTGGCGGCTGCTTCGGCAGGCAAGGAGCAGATTCTGGTGGCGGCGACAGCGTTGTAAACCTGGCATAAATCGGGCACTGCTCTGAAGTCTGGATGACGAGAGGCTTCACAAAATCACAATGTTTCTGTCATCCCTTGATCCACTTTAATGGGGTTTGTCTTGCCCGAATTTTGCGAACACATGCGGTGCACGATTTGTACCAGTAAAAGGAGCTCTGACACAAATGCCACGGATGTGACCAAGGTAGGACAAATTAGAAACTGAATTCCGGTTGTCGTATCCTTGGAACCGCATCTCATGGGTTAGTAGCCCACCGTTGACAGGGATAGCTCAGAGCCATCTTCTCCCCAAGGCTAAGCTGATGTTAATATGACTCTCTGATAATAATGTCTCAACACTACTCAGCCGTAGTCAGTTTTGATATCCATATCCCGAGGGAGGCATAACGTTTTTTATGTCTAATTGTCAATAGTTCTTTTCCAAGGCTATCTCATAAACAATTATCTGAGAGGTGATAAAAGTTGTGAGTGGTGAGAGAAGAGAAATAATGACTTGTTCTTACCTCACGTGTCTTACATGTGCTGACACCGCCTCTTTGAAGCTGGAGAACAGGCCAAGCCAGCATTTGGCAAAAGGAAAAACTAAAACGGAGGACACGATATCTAATAAGACAGAATAATTTTTTTCTTTTTTATTCGTGTCAGGGGTTTCGGAGTTCTTGTGCGGCTGTGAGTGGCTTGCTTTAGTCACAGCACGCTTCATTTGCTGCCGGTGATACATCACACATGTGCAAGGGTAGAGTTGCCTCTCAGACCTCATGACGTGGTCCGAAACAACGAGCCAATCAGATGCGGATGAATGCGGGGAATGGATTTGAAAAGCAAGCACTCTTGGTCGATCCTTGAGGTGGCTGCCATCCTGTTCAGGAGAAGGATCATCTCGCAGAGTGGTACTCGCCCTCGCGCTGTGGGTAGCAGATGTGCCGACGTGGTAGTGCGTTTTATTAATGATGCCCAGTGCCATTGGATCCAGTAAAGCCCAGAGCCTGCACGATTCCGGTGGCTGACGCGGTACGTGGACTGGCAGACAGGGGTAGAGCGCTTGGTGGTGTCTCTGGGCAGGGCTGGCTGCTGACTGCATGAATTAGCACGGAGCCCTCCTATTAGGATGGGAAGGGTGAGATTATTTACTCCTCTAGTGTAACCTCTCCTCGTCCTTTTGTACGACTTTCAATCTTGCCGTCATTCGCAGCAGGCTTTTTTCCTGCCGACAGTGATGCATTGATCCAGCCCCGACAATCGCCTTCTGCAGGTGGCTTTCTTACTTCCCGGGCCACTTACAGCCAGCCAGCCCTACGAGTAGCCCTACGAGTCTCCAGGGGACGACCGGGCAGAGATTGATGATGCGGGCGCTGCGCATCCTGGCCACCATTGCTGGCCTCGCAATTGACCTCAGTCCGTGGGCTTGCCTGCCGTCGTTCTCCAACCCCGACACTTGAGCTGACAGATAGCAGCTTCTGCACAGGCATCGTTCAGAGCCGGCCAAAGCCGTGATATTCGATTCAACTGGGGTGTTCCCGAAGAGGCAGCCACGTCTGGATCCGGAAATGTCTATCTCCAGCTCGACGCGCCCGACACCTACTCGTGGGTCGCCCTCGGCATCGGCGAGAACATGATGACCGCCAAGATCTTCCTCGTGTACCAGGACGGCGAGGGCAACGTAACACTCAGCACGAGACAGGGGCAGAACCATATTATGCCGACGTACGTCGACCGACCGAAGGTTGAGCTGATATCCGGGTCGCGAGCGGCCGATGGGAGGATGGTGGCCAAAGTACGGTGCGGGGACTGTGAAGACCTCGACCTGAGCGGGCAGAATAGCTGGGTGGCAGCTTGGTCGGCGGGGGATGCAGTGAACGACAAAAACACGGGGGCGATGATAAAGCACCACGACGACAAGAGGATATTTACCGTGGACTTGAGCAAAGCGAGCATCGGCTCCGACACCGACTCGTTTTCTGAGGCTGACCAGGCGAATCTTGCGTCCGATTCAGACTATGGGATCGTGGACACGGACGAGTTCAGCCCCATACGCCTTGCGCACGGCATCATTATGACCACAGTGTTCGTCGGCATTTATCCCTTGGGTGCTCTCCTCATGCCGGTATTCAACAAATGGTTCCTCCATTCGGCGTCGCAGTTGGTCGCGTATATCCTGATGTGGGTTGGTGTCGCCTTGGGAGTCACATACTCCAGGCAAACTTCACTCGTAAGTCCAGTTCTTTTCTCCTCATATCGTGATGGCCCTTCCATCCAATTCGGACCGGCTGACCAGTGATGGCACATCTAGTTCGGGAAGCAAACCCATACTCGACTGGGTCTGATAGTGGTCATCCTTCTCAGTTTCCAACCCGTCCTAGGCTACTTGCATCACCGATATTTTGCCAAGCATCAATCCATCGGCCTGGTAGGCCACATCCACATCTGGTACGGCCGGGCGCTCATGGTTCTTGGTGTGGTAAATGGTGGGTTAGGCCTGCAACTCGCTGGGCAAACTGGCGGCTCATGGGTCATAAGCTACTCAGTCATCGCGAGCACGTGCTTCGTGGCGTATCTCGTTTCCATCATCATGAGTCTGAACAAACAGAAGAGGAGGAGGACCGAGCATTCGAGGCATTCGGGTCAGCGCTGGCCGAGTCCTGATTCTCTGTTGCAGACTGCGGAGGAGACATATCATCCCTCGTACTACCAAAGCCCTGGGAATATCCCTATGAAGGACTTGACTCGCAATCGCGAGAACGCTGCAGTAGGCGACGGCAAATAGGTACCTAATACAACTAATGTTTCATGATCAGTTTCGAGTTACCAGGCTTCAACGACATTCCTCTAGGGCCGAAAAGCTTGTGCTGACGCTCACACCACTCAGAAGTCCGTTGCAAGCGCGGAAGGATTCTCGGTACGTTGCGTGCGCACAGCTCTTTTGCTTGGCTGAGATTAACTCAAAGAGGAAAATCAAATGCTGTATCTGCGCCGCACCAGCCACAAGGTTGTGTTGAGAGTTCAGACAGGCACCACAAATATCCAGTTGCCCCTCTCACAGTGCGATTGGCTCATGTGGAGACACGCGCTCAGGCCGCGGCAAATGGGGAAAATACTGTTTTTGAACTGTGCGGATACTGTACTATGAGCATTGAAGGCGGGGTTTACCTGGAGGAACTATATGGCTTGGAGCTCGGTCCTATTGATACCATTCGTCTCTTTACTCTACCTACCATCTAATAGTTCAATCTTGATATCGTAAACACAATGTCCCACACGTACAAGTCTGAGTACCCTTCGGGTCTTACTACAGACCCCGAGATTGTCCAGTTTTTCGAGGACTTTTACAAGACCTCTGACACGCCTGGCGCCCACGACCAATATGTTGACCTCTTCGCAAAGGACGCAACCTTTATACTAGCCTCTAAGCATTGTGTCGGGCATGATGGTAGAAAATTCCGTCCCGCTCAGATGGAAGTATCACTAAGAATCAAGCAGAAATCACAACGACAAGACATGGCATGTGGACCGCTGTCGCCTCCCGAAAGCACTCCATCCCCAAGATCTTCCCTTTTGGAAATGGGACTAATGAGTTTATGCTCTATGGTTCGGTTGCGTTGGGCTTGAAGAATGGTGCTGAGGCAGAAGTCGACTGGGCGGCAAGAGCTGAGGTGCTTAAATCCCCCTCAGACGGAAAATGGAGGATGTCTTTCTACCAAGTATACCTGGTGAGTGACTCCTTGATTGGACTAGAAGGTTTTCGGAATTTGAACTAATTGGTTCGTTTCTTTAGGACACTGGAGCTACAGCTGCCTATGCTAAGAAATGAGTCCAAGAAAATGAACTTGAGAGAGCTTGTTTAGAGAGAGCCAGGTGGCCCAGTTTATGAAAATCGAACTCTTCATATCAATAGATGAAACAAGCCCGATGCTAGTCGATTCGAAGAATACATGTGTCCTTATAAACCGTTCTAAAGTATCTTGCTGCGTGCTCTTGAATTCTCAGCAACTGACAACGATTTTCATTGTCTGGCGCGCTTTGCTTAAAAACGTTGGCTGTCGTGTCTTTTTACCCATAATCCACTCGTCATGATATTTACTCGATAACGTTTTCAGAAGGGTTCTTCGAGATTATTTCTCATCGCCCTAATCCCGAAACAAGAAACTATGAGGATTGTAATATCTTCGATACTATGTACTCAACAATATTTATAGCACAATGCCTAATCGAAGTAGTTCACCTCTAGGACGAGCAATAGTCATGCTAGTTACAATTTACAGTTACATGCTCTGTCAAGAATATGCTTCTAATATTGAGATCTCTCAAAGTAGAGTATTGTCCAGGAGCGAGTCTTGATACAGCGTAGTCATGCTCGATGGCTGAATTGTTGGTATAGTCGTGCGCATGACTGCGAGTATCAGACTAGAATCAAATAAACACAGAGACAGGAAATACAAACTCTCTCCAAACCCCATCCCTTTAACTCATAAAATCGAAACCACCTTGAGCAGCCGTCGATCAATCAAGGTCCATAACCCTTATCTCAGCTTCAACAAAGGCATTTCTTTCCGCATTCCAAAGCGCTTCTTCCTGAGCCTTCCTATTTCTCTCCTCCTTAAACCTCAACGCCGATTCTCTAACACGCATCGCAGCCTCCCGGATCCTCTGGCCGGACTCTTTCATCCTCGCCTCCCTTTCCAATCTGCGCCTCCGAGCAGCTTCCTCCTGAGGTGTCCGAACACGATTGGCCTCGGCGGCCAGCCTCTCCTGCTCGGCAGCGGCGCGTCTGGCGGTCTCTTCCTGCCTCCTCTTGGCCATCTCCTCCCGAAGACGCTGCCTGTTCTGTTCCTCCTCCTCAGCGGTCTCGTGGAACGGGAAGGTTGGGTTCAAGTTGGTCTGGCGGAATGAGGTCTGCCCGAAGCCGAATGTAGCGTGGTTCCTGCCACTTCTGCCCCTGGCGCCCATCCGACCACCAAAAAAGCTCTGGCGCCGGCGCTCGCGGTCGAAGATTTGACGACTGTTGGGATCGCCTAGGATGGAGTACGCTTGCTGAAGCTATATCGAGTGGGCTTGGTATCAGCTATCATTCCACAAATACACCAAGAAATACGGGGGAGAGTTGAAACAGCCGTACAAGCTGGAAAAGAAGAGTTGCATCGGGGTTGTCGAGATTCCTGTCGGGGTGTCTCAACCTGGCGAGCCGCATGTAGCTGGCCCGAATGACGGCCTGATCCGCATCGGGAGAGACCTCAAGGACCGTGTAATAATCAACAAATGTCTCGCTCGTCATCTTTACAGATCTAATGAGAGAATCTAAAAGAATGAAATATAATTGCGAAGCTCTTCACAGGCGTTAGCTTAGTTGCAGATGTCGACGCGTTTGAACGATGGGGAAGCGTGGATTTTTTTCTTTCCCCCTCCTGAACCGAGGCAGTGACTTGGATTTTAATGGGTCAAATAAAGGAGAGATGATCCCCTTTTGATTCCAGCTTGCTGCTTGCTTCTCATGCGTTTCGAGCAATGCATAAATCAGATATGTGGGGGGATCCCATTCGCTTGCTGTCGTTGGCTGGGAACGGTTGGAGCCACGTCAAGGAGGGTCAAATGATTATGGCTTGCAGGATTATTTGCACATGAGTCGACCTGCAGGCATGAAAAGCAAGATGGTAAGATGCTGATTGCTGGAAATGCCCGTTATCTCAGAATGGGGATGTCCATCCTTTCCAAGATTACCTTGGCTGACACCGCCAGCTCCTACGTAGCGACGCGCAATCACAGTCCTTTTGGTCTATATATTCGCGGAATAAGTCAGATAGTTTCCTATTTGATCAGAACGTAACGGTGTCATCTTCCTTCATCTTTCACGGTTACATATGCCATCATTATTACATGATAAATCACCTATCTCAGCAGACAAGTATCTTGGCAAGCCACAAACCATCAGCTGCTTACAATCACATGCCCCAAGTCGATTGATACGGTCAGAAGAATCCCCAATGCAGGAAAGTCTGAGAATGTGGACCGATACGAACATGCACGTCTCCGTATCTAGTGAAATAGTAACGTCTCAATCAGTATCTCAACTTAAGTCTGTGTGGTAGGCCATGAATGCTTCCGGGATGGGTTTTCTGTTCAATTCTAATCTCCAATCCGACCTCATTCACCACCCATCATCTCGGGATCGGCACCAGCTTCACCACTCAAGCCCTTCAAATCTAACTGTAATGCATTTCCTACACGGGCACGTGTTCCCATTCTACTGATCGCTCAGCAGATTCAGTGCCCTGATTGCCACCTTGCACAATAAACAAGCTTCGACCATAGATATTTGAATCTCCTGATATATTCGTATAGATATGCAAAATTTGCTCTTACATCCGATCGCTGACCAGTTGTGTTGGAGGGACAACGTAATCCGCCTATAGCAGAGTCAGTTACTACAGCTTATTACGTCTTTCTTGGTTTATCCTCGATCACATACCCTCCTATCAAGTAGTCTCTTTATCCGCCATGTAGTGTTCTCACTATGGTTACTTTTGGGTCTCCCTTGGGCGGAATCATGAGGTAATAACATTAACAAATGTCAAGAAGAAGAGTAAGGGTGTCTTATCCTTTCCGCTGATCAGACAGTCCATAACAACGAAAATTAGGACCAGTACAGACTCGGAAGAAGGTTAATTCTCATACCTTGGCTACTAGATTGATACTGTTCCAAGGGGCAGACAATCATCTCGACCAGCCCGAGGCAAGCAATGCAATGACTGTAGGGTAACAACAATTGATAGCTGACACTAATCGCGAATTCGGAGGTACTTAACCGCATGTTGCAACTAGCCCCGCGTTATTAATTCCCCAGATCCTGTTGGAGGACTCGTCCACTGCCGAGATCGCCCCCATCTGTGCTCTAATCATAATATCCGACTGCGACAACCAATTACCGCATGTTAATCGACGCGTCGCGGTCGCGAATCCAGCATGAGAAGGTTCCCCCAATCAACTGGTCTGTTGACCATCTCCCAAGGACACCGTGCAGGCCTCTCAAGGGCTAGCATCTGCTATAGCACATCGCCATCTGCCAATGCACACTCCAAACGCGCCCAGGGTGGGTTTGGCCTTGTGGGTGTCGTTGCAGCTACAGCGGCCGTCACTGCTCTGGTAACCGCGAGCATCATGTCTAAACGAGCAGAGCCACTGTCTAAGCCTGTGGTAGAGAGAAGCGGCCACAAGCAACCAACAAGTTCAAGATACGCAGACGAAAAGACAACGTTGAAGGTGAGAAGACAAGGTTTAATACAATCCATCCTAGGATGCTATAATGTCCCATATGCTCATGACCGCAGGCTCTGGAGGAGATCAAAGCATCAATAAAGGGCATATCTGTCAGCCTGGATCCGGATGATCTCGAGTCTCATGGCTACGCTGAATGGTCAGGTTCCAATATCCCAGAGCGCCCATTCGCCGTCGTCATGCCTACCACGACAGAAGAGGTCTCAACGATTGCTAGGATTTGTACAAAGTACAAGGTGCCCATGATTCCATTTGGCGCAGGATCCAGTGTTGAGGGCCATTTCACTGCACCGTTTACTGGTCTCAGCATTGACCTCTCTAAGATGAACAGAATTGTCTCAGTAAACGCAGACGATATGGATGCCGTCGTCCAACCAGGCGTAAATTGGGTGAACTTGAATGACCAGATAAAAGAATCAGGGCTGTTCCTCCCCTTGGATCCGAGCCCAACAGCCCATATTGGAGGTATGGTGGCAACCAACTGCAGCGGGACGAATGCTATGCGATATGGCACTATGAAAGACTGGGTGGTCAATGTCACCGTCGTGCTTGCTGACGGTTCGGTTATCAAAACTCGCCGGCGCCCTCGTAAGACATCTGCTGGCTATAATCTCACTGGCCTTTTTGTCGGCTCTGAAGGAACTTTGGGAATCATCACAGAGGTAACCCTCAAACTTGCTGTGATCCCTTCTTCATACGGGGTTGCAACGACAACCTTTCCTTCCGTGAAAGAAGCTGCTGCTGCTGCGTCAAAGTTGATTCGACGAGGGATTCCACTTGCGGCTCTTGAGCTCATGGATGATGTGCAAATGCGGGTGATCAATAAGACGGGCGGCGCAGGTGGGAGAATGTGGACTGAGAAAGCGACGCTATTCATCAAGTTTTCAGGGAGCACGGAGAGCGCCGTCAAAGACAACATGGAACAGGCTCAGGAGATCTCCAAGGCGTATGGGGGAGCTGACTTTGAGGTGGCCAAGTCGCAAGAGGAAATGGATAGTCTGTGGTCAGCGAGAAAACAGGCACTCTGGGCGATGCTTGCTTTGCGTGAAGAGGGCACGGAGATCTGGTCGACGGATGTTGCCGTTCCGCTATCACGGATGGCAGAGATCATCGACCATTCAAAAGAAAACTCTTCAAAGCTTGGCCTGTTTTCGAGTGTCCTTGGGCATGTCGGTGATGGCAACTTCCACCAGGCAGTTATGTATGATCCTCGAGATGCAAAGCAAGCGGCGTCAGTCAAGAAATGTGTCGATGATATGGTCGACATGGCGCTTGAGATGGATGGGACCGTATCTGGAGAGCACGGGATTGGTATTGGCAAAAAACACTGCCTAGAGAAAGAGCTGGGTCCTGATACAATTGCAATCATGAGATCACTCAAGCAGACTTTGGATCCTCATTGTTTGTTAAACCCAGGCAAGATTTTTGAGAATTAACACGACCGGAGCCAAGTATTCGCTGTTTTTTCAACTCTCTCTTACAACTGACGGATAGTCCTTGCTTAGCGCGAATGTTTTTCTATCAGACCATAGTACCCCAGAA